TTCCCCGGCAGGTTCAAATTGTGTTGGCCGCACAGAAGATCCAGGACTTGACGGAGTTGGCGGAGATGGCCGACCAGTTGGTGGAGTTGACCGAGAGGCCTACCTCCGTGAGCCAGGTTTCGGCGCATCATACCTTTGAGCCCACTCTCGCGTCAATGCAGCGGCAGATCGAGGAATTGACGCGAATAGTTTCAGCGCTCAGAACAAACACCCATGAACGATCTGGGAGCTCACGCGTTAATCAAAAGCGGAGCCGCTCTCGATCGCGCTCACGCCCACGTAATCAGAAGCTTTGCTGGTACCACGATCGTTTCGGCAACAAAGCAAGCAAATGCATACCAGGATGCAGCTGGACCATTGAAGGAGCTACCAAACCTTTAAACTAAGGGAGCGGTCGGACGTGGCAAGTACCGACCGCGCACAGTCCAGCAAACGCCTTTTTATTACCGATCAAAATACCAAAATTAATTTTTTGATAGATACCGGTTCGGACATTTGTTGTTTTCCACGAAAACTTATAAAAGGACGTTTCTCAAATACAGGACTTACTCTCAATGCGGCAAATGGCAGCTCCATTAAAACTTACGGCACAGTTAATCTGAACCTCAATTTAGGACTGCGCCGTGAATTTCGCTGGGAGTTTATTTGTGATGATGTCCCAATTATCAGTTTGGATTTCCTAGCTTTCTTCCACCTCCTACCCGACTGCCGTAGCGGCACACTGCGCGATGAGCTTACAAACTTATCCGCATATTGTTGTAACCGCAATATAATGCAGCCAAGTATTAGGATCGTAAAAAAACCGTCTCGCGATTCCCTGTTCAATCAACTCTTTTTAGACTTTCCGGAAGTGACGCGCCCACCTACAGCTGACCGTCAAATAAAACACAGCACTGTTCACTATATAACGACAACTAGTGGGCCGCCTGTCGCGTCGCGTCCTCGTCGACTAGCACCCAACAAGCTAAAAATTGCTGAGAAGGAATTTAATGACATGGTGTCGGCGGGTACTGCTCGCCCATCTAAAAGCCCCTGGTCGTCACCACTGCATTTAGCACCCAAAAAGGATGGCATGTGGCGTCCTTGCGATGACTACAGGCTCTTAAACGCTCGGACAGTTCCCGATCGGTACCCTGTGCGTCATATAGGAGACTTCAGTCATAATCTGGCTGGTTCTACTATATTTAGCACATTAGATCTAGTAAAGGCCTACCAGCAGATTCCGGTAGCTGGTCCAGATGTTTGCAAAACGGCCATAATAACGCCATTTGGTCTTTTCGAGTTTCCCCATATGTCATTTGGGTTACGCAACGCTGGCCAAACCTTCCAGCGTTTCATCGATGAGATCTTGCGCGGACTAGACTTCGCTTTTCCCTACATTGACGATATTTTGGTATTCTCACGGGATGCTGAAGAGCACGCCAAACACCTGCGCATAATCCTGCAAAGACTGGTGGACTATGGCGTAGTTGTCAATGTGGATAAGTGCGTATTGGGGGCATGTGAGGTAATCTTCCTAGGTTATAAGATAACCAAGGATGGTATCTGCCCACCTGAAGAGAAGATCGCTGCTCTCCGCGAGTTATCGCTTCCCAAAACAGCTCAAGGTTTGAGACGGTTCCTGGGGATGGTAAATTATTACCGCCAATTTCTTCCCAAAGCCGCCAAGCTGCAAGCTCCACTTGTGGATTTTTTAACAGTTAGCAACCTAAAAGGTTCAAAAGCTGTGCCCTGGACGGCAGACTTGGAGCGTGCTTTCTACGAGTGTCGCGAAAGTCTCTCAGAGGCCACCATGCTTGTACATCCGCAACGAAATGCTCGTTTAGTGTACACACGGACGCCTCCAGCACTCATGTCAGCGCTGCCTTACAGCAAAGGTCTGATCAAGGCTGGCAGCCGTTGGCATTCTTTAGCAAAAAGCTAACACAGAGCCAAAGTACATGGCCCGCGTATTACCGCAAACTTCTCGCAGTGTACGCGGCCGTACAACATTTCCGGCATATACTAGAGGCACAACACGCGACAATCTACACAGACCACAAGCCGCTTCTTTATGCTTTCGTCCAACGCCGTGAAAAATTGCCCCCTGCTCAACTTAACCAACTCACGTTTATTTCCCAGTTTACAACTGCTATCAAACATGTGAAGGGGGAAGACAACATCGTTGCTGACACAATGTCCCGCATTGAGGCTATCACGCTCGATGACGATTTCGCAGCCCTGGCAAAAGCTCAGCAGACGGACGACGAACTTAAAACCGTAAAGGTCCATTCTTCTTTACAGTTAGAGCCAACCCTCATACCTGGATCCAACATTTCCGTTTTGTGTGATGTGTCAACAGGCAAACCTAGACCCTTTTTGCCAAAACAATATCGGCGAGCCGTCTTCGATCGCCTACATGGTCTCAGCCACTCCGGCGCACGCGCTTCCGCGCGCCTCATTAGCGATCGCTATGTTTGGCCAGGCATTGCTAAAGACTGCCGCTCCTGGGCACGCGAGTGTCTCGCCTGCCAGAGCAGCAAGGTAACGCGCCATGTCGTTTCACCCCTTGGCAACATTAGCACACCTTCAGGCAGATTCCGTCATGTTCACCTGGACATTATTGGACCGATGCCTTCTTCAAACGGATTGACTTATTGCCTAACAGCAGTAGACCGTTTCTCACGCTGGCCCCAAGTTTGGCCCATGTCGTCGATAACCGCAGTAGAAGTCGCTGATCAATTCACCCATGGCTGGATCGCTCGCTTTGGTGTACCGATCACTGTCACAACGGACCAGGGACGTCAATTTGAGTCCCAACTTTTCAACAGACTGATGGATTTAGGAGCCACAAAACGCGTTCGTACTACGAGCTATCATCTCCGAGTTAATGGGATGATAGAGCTTTTCCACCGCCATTTAAAGGCCGCTTTAATGTGTCGCAAGAGTTCTTGGTACCATGCCCTACCTTTCGTTATTCTCGGAATCAGGGCGGCACTAAAAAATGACATCAAAACGTCAGCTGCAGAAGTTTTGTATGGGGAACCGCTACGCCTACCGAGCGAGTTCCTGGTGGCTAGCAATTCCCCTCAGACCGTGGACGATGATTTTGTTGCACAGTTGCGAAAACGGATGGCAGAAATTCGCCCCGTTCCAGCATCACGTCACACGAATTCTAAAACTTTCGTTTTCAAGGACTTACCTGATGCTACTCACGTGTTCCTCCGCGAAGATTCCGTTCGACGCCCTCTACAGCCACCTTATACAGGCCCCTACAGAGTGTTGAAGAGATCTGAAAAGACACTTACCTTAGACATTTCTGGCCGAAGATCTGAGGTTAGCATCGACAGAACAAAACCTGCGTATATTGCACCTGACCCAGACGGCAATCCATCCCCTAACAACTTGGCACCGGAGCCCCCAGTCCTTCCGACTCTTTCACCTCCTATTAGCCAAACGGCCGTGCCCATTAAAACGCCCGCACAGCCTGTAACAACCCGGTCAGGTCGCAAAGTTAAATTTAAAGATATTTTAGATTTATAAGTACTAGTTTTTATTACGTTATTTTTGTTAAAGCAGAGTTTTTTCAATTTTAAGTTTCCAATGTTTATTTTTTCGTTGTATGAATTAAAATTCCATTAGTTAAAAATTATCCTAAATAATGTTGCTTGTACTTTTATAATAACAGTGTATAATTATTTGATTGTTACATTTTATACTTGTTTTGCCTTCAATGTGTACTTATTTTTCTCCGTAGGGGGGTGATGTGGCGACTCATTTGCTACTGTGTAGTACCGCTCTTATCTTTTACACCCTTACTCTCATCGGTCTAGCATTACCCTATTATTGACAAATTTCTATAGCAACGAGTGACAATAAAAGATGATGGTTTTCTCAACACGGCTTGTTCTTTGTACTGCATCTTAATTATTCCCTCCTGCCGGCTCCCAAACTGTTAAGATTCAAAATTACTTAACTGCGCGCTTTGTCGTCCGTTACGGCTCAAGGCTAAACAAAACAATAAAAATATACTTAATAATATCGTTGTAGTAATCGTTGATACCATGATTAGTATTTAATTGAAACGGATCTTATGAGCATGGCTTTAAGATTCAAAATTACTTAACTTATTCATAATATCTGTTTAAAAATCTGATATTGTGCCTTGCTTGCCGTACTGTTCTAACTAGTGTAATATTTGTATCTCACGCGCTTTGTCGCTCAAAATCTGTTTGAAAATCTGATATCGTGCATTGCTTGCCGTCCCGCTCTAACTAGTGAGTATATCTCACGCGCTTTGTCGCTCGAAATCTGATATCGTGCATTGCTTGCCGTCCCGCTCTAACTAGTGAGTTTTTGTATCTCACGCGCTTTGTCTCTCGAAATCTGTTTAAAAATCAGATATTGTGGCAAACGCGTATGATATCGCGATTCATGTCGGTGTAGCGAAAGAGCACGGTACATCAGATTTCGGAAATATCACATATTGTAAAATACATAGATATTGAACGAGCCAGTAAGCGATATTCGGATATTGTACTAATATCTAGTTTTCACATCTGATACGATTTGTATCGCCCACTTCTAATCAGTTCCAGTATATATATCTTATCTTTGGTGAGTACATGTACGGTGTATAATCTATGAGACTGACAGTCAGGCCGTACAATCTTAGAACAAATTCGGTGAGAACATTATCCTATTAAATTGAAAATGTCACAGGACATTTAAGATCATGTTGAAAGTATTTCCTTTTAAAATTAGTAGTATGATAATCAGCATCTATTGCGTAGTTCCAACCAGAAATGTCTGTTAACAATTACGGCGGCCATTTTCTTGATTGATCTGCTTTCTCACTCACACTGTATATCTTCTCTGTCACTTCAGATATATAAAAGTACTCTTTGCTGACAGTGTGACAGTGAAGTGACAGTTTGTATAAAATTGTTTGTTCCCCTACTTTCAATTCAATCAACATTCATAAAATAAGTATTAAAATAAGTGATTTTAATATCCAAAACATGTCGATAATTGCCGTATGTGGATTACCAATTGGGGTAGGGCTTTTTATTATTCATATAATATATTAAATCGTGTGGTAATTAAATTTAAAAGTTAAAAGTTAATTGTACGAGTCATGTTTTTAATTTGATAGCTGCAATGTATTATGAAAAGAATATTAGTATATCACCAAAACAGTTCTTGAACCCAATACAAAATAAAATAATTCTTATATAAACTCGAAGTATTGTTGAGAAATTGGTACATATTATCGAGGATGTTTTTGTTACTTTGGGGTTTATAAAATTTACTAGCTTAGGATATAAAGGATGGAAATGCGGTATTTTTCTTAACTTAGGACTAATAACTAAAGTGAAAAATTTAAAGTAATTCACTATTTTCTATATTGTTAATTTCACAGTGGGATCTGAAGACGATTGTAAAAAAATTGTTAAAAACCATAAATGGCAAGTTTGAGGCACTTAGTATTATATGCAACAAAAAAAGCAGAAAGTGCTACCTACGCCTGTCAGAAAGACTGGACCCTCAGCTTGTTGTGGAGAATATTAACAGGAAGTTGTTTGATGGTAATAAACTACACGCTTTAGTCCCCGAATCTGTTCCAGATGTGAGTAATAAAATATTTTAATATTTAAATCGGAGACTGGAATCAAAGGATTTAAATTTTTTTTTTATGTCCTGTATGTATAAAAAGTTATGAGTGTTCATATACATTTTATTAACCAAATTAAGAATGAAAGAGGAGGTTATGCATTTTGGTGTATTTTATTATTTTCCATGTATGTACACTGGTTTTTTTGAGATGTCTGAGCTGATTTGAATAATTCTTCAATTATTTGGTAGTGTACTGCCAAGGTGGCCCCATAAAAGTTTGGTCATGAGTTGATGATGGACCCTTGAGATAAGCATTAGGACTTGGCAGATAATAATCAAGATAATATTTGTTTATTTCAACCCTCTTTGGGAAACAAACACCCAGATCTAGAATAGTAATCCTATATAATTCTTAACTTTTTTTCAGTTGCCTCACCATATTAGACCCCGAAAAATTCCTCTTAAGATGCGCAGGGCTATGCGTATACCGGAGGAATCAACGCCAGGAGAGGTATTAATTAGTTTATTTATATAAACTCTAACATAAATCTTGTGTTAAAAGACTTAAGGCATTCTCTTAAGTTAACCTACTGGGTGATGAAAAGAAGTGGTAGGTATTAAAACTAAAGAAAAACTATTGCTAAAAACCAGCCATCTGTGAAAATTTCAAGTATCTAGCTATCACGGTTTATGAGACAGTTTATGAGCCTTGTGACAGACGGACTGACAGCAGAGTCTTAGTCTTAGATAGGGTACCATTTTATCCTTTAGGTACGGAATCTTAAAAACTAATACATCATAAAATATGTACTACAACAAATACAATTATTTCATTGAACTCTACTCTCTGTAGCATTTTGCGATTACCTTTATTAAGTATGGCAGCTTAAAACCAGTTTGTAAATCCTTTATTTAGTGTTACTAATGTTTGTCATGTAGGCAATTATAGTATTTTTTTTATGTGATAAGTTGCCAATCGCAGTTTCATGAGATGCGAGCGTTGAGATGCATTGACAACCTTCTGAAAATTGGGCTCTGGCTACCTCACTCACCAGACTAAATGCGAAAGCACCATACTTCCTCTTCATGCTGGTCTTCTGTGAGGATGTGGTACTTACCCGGAAGAGCCTGTCCACTCATGCAACAGCCGAGGCTGCTGTGTGGTCCTACCACTAAAAAAATAAATAAATATGTTATCCAAAACTTTCAGGTCATCTACACTGCTCACATGGAGATTTTAAACGAAATGCAGAGCAAATACACGGAACTCGGCAGTCTCAGCAAAACCACTAATCATCTGCTTTTAAGGAACATTGCCAGGGTTTGTTAACATTTTACCTATATTGTTTTTGTATTAATTTTTTTTTCTCCGACGTGTCAATGTTTTTTCGTTACTAATTGCGATGAATAATTTTTTTTTCTCGTTATTGGTGGTTTCTAAAAAGTAATTGTAAAGTTATTCTCATAACTAAATATAAACATATACACTTTCACCAAAATACCAAGGAGGAGGAGTATAAACACTAACTCCGACACAAGAATTTTATATATTAGATATTAACTTAACGTCTTTGCTTATGCCTCTTCCAGATTATACTCGACCGTTTGAAGGACGTTCTGCTGGCCTCACCGGAGGCGGACAACGGTTTCAAGTTGACCAAGTTCTACAGGAAAATGCACCCGCACTTCGGCGACTTCCAGCTGATCCTGTCGACCCTCCACCAGATCGAGGACTCTGAGGGGAAGCCCCGCACGCAGCTGAACAAGCAAGAGTTCGCCGTTACGAACGTCCAGCCCTACGGTGGGTGTTCCCCGACGTGGAAAGGGGGGTGTTATAAGCATGACGTGCTGTGTATTGGGCATGCTTTTAACCACCCGACGTAAAAAGAGGGTGTTTCTACAAGCTTAACGCGCTTGTCTGTGTATCTGTCCCTGGCATCGTAGTTTCTAAACGATTTTGGTGCGGTCTTTGAACCACCCGACGTAAAAAGGGGGTGTTGTTATAAGTTTGACGTGTCTGCTGTTCTGTGTGTACGTCTGTGGAATCGTAGCTTCTAGACGAATGGACCGATAGTGGATTTTGTCGTTTGAAAGCTGATGTGATCGAGATGCTTTTTAGCTATAATTTGAGTTCTTTTTTGTCAGGGTTTTTTTACTTAAAAAAATTTGAACAGGTGGTTCACCCGGTGTTAAGTGATTACCGTTCTCACTTCAGCAGTATAAAATTAAAGAAGCTATGCGGCTGTTGAATGGTTGAGGAGACAACTTTTGATCTAATCACAGAGGCTTCACAGTGTTCGAAAGGTACAACCCAATGGTGTGTTTAACTTTAATGCGGTAGCACTGCCACCTTCGTATTATAACGTAAATAAACCTATCAGAAATGGGAGCATTTGGAAAAACTGTCGATCCACAATGGTTTGAAATTGCAAAGGCTTCAACGTTTCCTGATTTCTCACCTGAAAAAATCTGCTCCCATTATGTGGGTAGTATTGATTTTTCTGACGCTTTTATAGCGTGCTCTGTTACATTGTATTTTATACATTAATTAATAAATGTTACATACTAAATTAATTAAGTGGTATTTTATTAATTCTTACATGACAGAACTATGCAAATGTACTAGTTTAATGATTATTAGTACCTTATTGGCGTCTCAATGGGGCACATATTATGCCGAAAGTTGATTGGCGTAGACTAATACTATATGTTACCTAGTGCTATTTTAATTATGTTTATGTGTTACTTAATTATATCTCGTGTATTTCCAGTGATTGACAACATTCCATTCAACAAAGTGAGCGAGATATGTCGGAAGTACAGCAAGATCATTGCCACTAAGGTGAGCAGAGGCGCTCTCTAGGGGTAATGGTGTACAGGAAGTTTTATAGATCATTTACTTCAGGTACAGTCGAATAACTAAATCAGAGTCAAATTTTAGACAAACTGTGAGGTATTCAAATTTACATATCTTTATACAGTATTACACTTACTTATTGATAGTCAAAATACACTACTACCGGTTACGAGAAAAAGCCACTGACCGGCGAAAGAAACCATCGGGACAGTTTTGAACACAGAAAAAAAAAACATGTTTACATTGTTTTAAACTCTACAAGTAAAGTGCATTTAAAAAGCTGGCGGTTCACCTGATGTTAAGTGATAACCGACCCCCATGGACATGTGCAACACTCGTAGGGTTGCAGATGCGTTGCCACCATTTAACATAGAGTGACGGCAAACAAATGCATTATCGTGATTCGGGTTATATAAATAAATAAATGATAAATATCGCCTTGGTTTTCGGCAGATGACTGAGCACACCAAGAATCTGAACACGAATATCGAAGCAGAACCCGGCAGCGAGGAGGAGGCCACCAAGAGAGTGAGGGCGGAACTCAAGAAGATGTCCCTCTACTTCCCGGTGGTGAGTAGTTTGTTTCGGACCAACCCTCGCGTAACAAAGGGTGTGAAATCATTTTTTTGCTGTAGCCAACCCTCAAGTAACGACAGTAAAAAAAATCACATTCTTTACTGAATGTGATTTTTTTTACTTTATATTTTAATACAGTAGCACTCTTAAAGACCTATACAAAATGGTTATTATATCATTTAGAATTAATACAGTAGCAACGTTAAGCTCACTCCGTATCAATTTTCCAAAATTTAGATAATACGAAAAGGTTTCGTTCCAGTGAACTAATGACGAATCCCGTTTTACAGATTATAAAACAAGTCATATCAACCAATTTCGTGCCACAGAAGACGGCGTTTTACAGAATTAGGGTGAGTATAAATTATTGGTAGAAATTATTATTATAATTATCATTCGAATTGCAGTATTTATAACAATATTTATTGTAGAAAATTCAGTATGGTCAAAACTATCCTTATTGTTTTTTTTTTGTTTACAAGTACAGAAACTGATAATTATAACACTTTCGGAAATAATGATTTATTTCATTCATATTAATATGCTGGCGGAACGAGTGTGTCTGTGAGTGAGACGGATAGACGAATTAGACTATGGTGTGAGCGAGAGGGCGATACTTTAACATAATGCCACAGCAATGAATCACTAAAGCACAGTGTATATGTATATTTCGTTAGGTTGACAGCACCATATTATAGCATGTTTATTGCGAATCACTACATATTATAAAAAAAAAGTCGCCCCGCTGTCTGTCTGACCCTATGTATGCTTAGATCTTTAACGGTAACGATCTTTATACGGTTATTTTTACCAGATAGAGTAAGGTTTATATGTATAATACATATCGCTAGTGAACATTATATACGGTGGGCCGTTCGGCCGCGTCGGCAGGTGTACGGGGAGCCGTTCCTGCCGCCCAAGGAGGTGATGCTGGACTTCCTGAAGCGCTGCAACGCCACCAAGGTGTTCCGCAGCGACCGCATCTTCAACATGCTGCGCTGCAAGGTGCCGCTCGCCTCGCTGCAGGCCACCGCCAAGGCAGACGGCTCCGTCGTCGGTGCGTCTCTCTCTCTTTCTCACTCTCTTCCGTTGTCGGTCTACTCTCTCATTGTCACTCTACTCTCCCTCTTACTCCCTTCCATTGTCGGCCTGCACTCGCTTTTTCACTGTCGGTCTACTCTCTCTCTTTTTCTCATTCTCCTTCCCTTTCGTTGTCGGTGCGTCGACTGCCGAGGATTTTTGAGATACAGAGAGCATATCCCTTATAAGGTCGGCCAACCCCTCTATAGTATGAATAGAACTAATAACTGTGTGTCTTCAGTCTTCTTTGTTGCGCCAAAGGGCAGCTCCGGCCGGGTAAGTACAACGATCTCATAGAAGACGGGCGTGAAGTGGAAGTGTTACATTTCTGCGTTTCGTTGGTGAGCGAGGTAGCCGGGGCCAACTTTATTAAAAGGTGGCAACTCTATGGGTGTTGCAGATGTCGACGGGCGACGGTTATCACTTAACATCGGGTGTATGTACCGCCAGTTCGTTTGCCGCCTTCTCAAATAAATTTTTATACTGTTTTTTTCGTGTTGAATTTTTGTTCCAATTCGTTAGAATACTTTGTACACTATGTTCCTATTTCAGGCGGTGCCACGCTCTACATACGCCTGGCCGAGATCCAGTTCTACAAAGTGCCGGAGTCCATGAAGAGGGAGATGTTCTCCTTCCAGGACGGGGACGAGCAGGCGGCGGACGCCGTCGACATGGAGGACACCAAGGAGTGGGACGAGGAGTGGTAGGGTGGGGTACAAAATAAAAGCTTTACTTGATGTCGAAGGTCGTTTCATTGCAATAACCCAAAATGCTGTGTATTCATTTCAATGACGCCGACCTGACAACCCGATAGGTACGGTATTATGCTGGTTTCAATTGTGGAGGGAATCCATAGTAGCTGCTTAGGTGGAAGCAGTATATGTGATGCGCATTTGATATTCATGTGTGGATACAAGTGGTCAACAGTCAATCGTGTAATATACCATCATAACATTTTTATGCCTTTTGACTGATAATTAGATTTTAATGAAAGTTGTAATTTGTTTTTTATTAATTCCTTTAATTGTGGAGGGCCACGCTAAAGCTTTTGTTGTCTCACAAATGGGCAAGCCTCATCGGAAAGTAGCAACACCATACAGAATACCGGCGTAAAGTAAAAGTATTACACGTTGAGCTTAGTCTGGTTGATGAAACACACTTTTTGTAAAGGTTGGCAATACTTTTGTCGTATCTTACGCGTCGGCAATCGATTAACATGATGAGAATCGCCATCGCCGAAATTTTTACAAAAATTGTATCTATTGCTAGTTTTTGTTGTATCTGAACACCCTAAAAGAGTCCTACTGCGGAGGTGGCAATCCCGCCCTTATATGTTTGACGCGAACCATTATCTTGGAAGACATTCAAAAGCGGCAACACTGGGGGCGAAATGAAACATTGCACCGTTGACATAAATGAAAACACTTTATTCAGATCTGAGATTTTAAAATACAAAATAGAAATTGTCATATAGATGTTGTGATAATTGCTATAGAAAAAAAAAAAATGCAAATGCACCGTACAACGCTTCTGCGGCCGTCGTGTATGAAATCCACATGCCGCAAAGAATGGATCGCGTCGATATTGAAATGAACACTTCTAGCTGATCGCACAGCAACTAAGATGTACTGAATTAAAACTGAATTGGAATGAAGTTTCGGTGGATAGAAAAATACTGCTATACCTTTTAAATTGTACGTTCTTAACGGGACAATTAACATTAAATACAACCACGCGGTTTACCCGTAACGATAAATAAATATTTGAGACTTAACCGATGGACATTACATTCTGTAAACGTTCTATAAATATTATATATTTATGTGAATATCGGCCGGTTATAGTACGTTTAACTTCAGGCCGTAATTCAATAGTAGTAAGGCATATAATCGGTTATCTAGCGAATTTAACATCTAAGAGTAGACTGTGCGATTCAGCCATTCTTCGAGGGAGAAAGTTGCGTATTCACCCCCAGAGGATCTTCCTTTGAATGTATCTGAAAATTAGGAAATATATTAGAATACTTCGTCTCAACCGGTTTTCAGGTTACCGAATTAGTAAGCGGTTAGTGTGTATGCTTAGGCTATCTACAATTCCCATTTATTATAAAGACAATACTTCGAAACAAAATTCCCGTGAAATGAGTTATAGGGGTTTTTGTAGATAGCTTTATAGTTGTGAAAAGTATCGTCTACTAACAGTAGGCTGAAGGCAATGAAAAAAGAATAATAAAAAATTTAATTGGAACAATGACCATAATTATTTTAAAAAAGTAAGTTTTAAAACTGTAGTAAACGATTTGTGCCGGACTAGTTGGAACCATTTCAATAAAACAACAATAATTATTATTTGACTATTGCCAAAAAATAAAATAAATAAATAAAAAATATTTCGAAATTGGAACGAGGAAAAAAAAAGAAAACTGCGCTTAAACTCGAGTTCAAATTTGGAAATCGAATGACACACGCGACTCGAATGAGACGTTCGAAAATTAAAATTAAAGAAATTAATTTTTTTCATCGAAAACATTCCGATTGTGTAACTGTTGAGCTTCCAACGAGACGTTCCAAATTTAAATTTCGAGTGATTCCCTCCTTTTTATAATTCCAATTGTAAGCGGCACGGTTCCAGCCAGTCCGCGGTGCGACGTGTTTGTTTGGTACACAGTACGTATAATGCATCTCCATACACTGCTCTTTCACGCTGAGCGTCGGCGTCCTCTTCACGAGTTCCATTGGAGTTCGCGTTCGAGGTTCTCGAGCGGTTCATTGTTAGCTGTTTCGTATTTATTATTCATTACAACACTATTATGATATTATATTAGAATCTCTATTTTATAATAGTATATTAATTTTGTCAGAGTTTGTTGGAATTTGAATGAGTTTGGAGGTATGCTTCCAATTGTGATTTCAGAAGAGTTGATCTTTTAATATCGCTATAGTTTAAAGAATATCAGAATTTTAAATTGTTTATAGTGCTAATCTTTGCACTTAAGATTGAACAATAAAATATGTAGAAAAAGGATGAAAAGATTGTCGATGAGATTCAAAATGTTTGTATGCTGGGAAGGACATAACAATGGATGCGCCAAGCATTGCTTCAAATGCTAAAAAACAATGTAAACATCAGAATTTTCAAATCATAACTGCACCAAGGCGATAATATTATTGTCTACCGCAAAAGTAAATTATATTGAATCGAATATTTATTAAAAACCAATGATTTTTTTTTTTTACTTTTAATATGCAGTAGTAAATGGAACCGAAGTTAAATCAAGTTTATGAAAACTGCAATGTAGTATTAAATAGGAAAAGAATAAAAAGTATTTCATTGGATCTTTGACTCATTCGATATTTGAGTAATTTTTTTAACACTAAAATAATGAGTCATGTTCAATAAAAGTTGCACTCTAACCATAATTTTAGTTATAAGACGGTACTCTAATAGAGATGGTTGTGGAAGTCATTCCTCAGTTGGATCAATTTCGACCGTTGCGATCTTCGACAGTTGATTGTCGACAGTCGACCATATGTAATTATTTTGTTGTTCACATTCTCAGTCTTCCTTCCAATTTCTATGGAGGATCAGCCGCAGTGGACCCTGTAGATTTCATGAGTCGTCGACGTTAAACCAAATACGCTCACCTATCATGGCCTTGAGACGCACGGAGCACATGATGAAGTCGTCGAATTGCACGTAGCCGTCGGTGGTGTATCTGGAAAGGGGAGCGTGACGTCACAACGAATCAATCTTTGGAGACATGTCGATTTTTAGTCGAATGCAAACCCGGTGAGGCGTCATCTCCTTGCGGAACACCGGCCTCGAGTGGACGTATTGACAAGTTTACGTCACGTCCCGCGGTTTCGTAGCGATGTAACAGAGTCCGACCTCCATGAAGGTTGGCAGAGCTGGCGCAAGCCTGGTGTACGTCATGCGAATCCGCCTTAGACCCTTTCGTAAAGGCCAAACTATACAAATTAATTGTCCTCCAACCTCAAGATGGAACTTGTGCGGGGTATCGAGTGACAAAAAGTAGAGTCGGGCGACGTTTGATGAATAATGGGTGACATTGAGTGAATAATGGTAACGGTGGGTGAATAGTTGTTGACGTTGGGTGAATAATGGTGACGTTGGGTGAATAATGGTGACGGTGGGTGAATAATGGTGACGTTGGGTGAATAATTGTGACGGTGGGTGAGGTTGGGTGAATAATGGTGACGTTGGGTGAATAATTGTGACGGTGGATGAGGTTGGGTGAATAATGGTGACGGTGGGTGACGTTAGGCTCATTAGATCGTACCTGTGCGCGAGCACGTTGAGGACATGCGCGTTGACGGTGTACCCGGCCGAGTGGAGGGCGTCGCGCAGGTGGTGGGCGGGCATCGCGCCGTTCTCCGCGTACAGGCGGAACACGGCCTGCGAATTGTTCTCTCCATGTTTATACAGGGTGATTTTTTAGACCAAGTACATACTTTGACATTATGTTAATTGAGCAATTCGTAATTCAAAGAAATATTAATATTTTGTTTTGACAAGATATAACCAGAAAAATATCAACTCAATCAAACATTGTTATCCCGATAAGCGGTTTAGTAATTATGCGTTCAGCGAACAGTTTTAGTGCTCGTGAATAGGTTATTGTATTGAAACGGTAAGGCAGGAATTTCTAATAGGATGTACATAATGTTTGAAAATTTTTATTTAAATTTAAAATTAAATTCTGCATATGCTTTGTTAATATGTCCGTCGTCTATAAAATCACCCTGTATACAGTAAACCAGGCTGATGGATTCTGGATAAGTGTCACAATGTTGCCCGTGTTGACTCGCATCTAGATATCTCTTTCCGTGTAGATCGAAACGATTCATCCGAGACTTCGTGTAGGATTCGATTGAAAATGATAATTCGTGACGTATAAGGGAAAATTGCATTGAAATCCATGGTAATTTGAGCCATGTTATATCCTCTATCACTTATTCCGTCTCTCTTTCACATTCTCTCTTTCTCTCTTACCCTCCAATTGCGCAGATCGATCCAGAGCGACTTGAACTCCTCGAACCCGAGACCGCCCGAGTTGTCCTTGTCGAGCATCGCGATCATGCTCCTGCACACGTCCTTGGAAAATCCCTGGCCTTTAAGCTCTGGAATATTATAAAATAGCTATTAATTTTTTGAAACATTCAAAGACCAACACCTGCGAATAAATAGAGGATATGTTACCAACCAATAACGAATAGCAAACCGTATTGATTAGCAACGTATCTTCAAAAATGAAAACGTTCAAACTAATTAATAAGGTATCTATCGAATTAGCGATACGATAAACCTAACTTTTATGGAAATGGAGGTGAGTTATGTTCTCGAAAGTGGTAAAAAAAATATAAACATGAAGGACGAGAAATATATTTTTAAAATGCCCATTTTTGTGCCGAAATAAAACACACATGCTGACGTGAAGCTCTTGAAACCGTAGACCTCGACAGACTTGTCGACGCCTTCGTTTCAAAGTGTTAGTTGCAACATGAAGCCCATGAGAAATAACGCCCCCGGACGAAAACGTAGCATTATTTCACATAAAACAATAAAACATTAATAAAAAAAATAAAGTGTGAAAAATTCTCGAAGATTCTGCAAGGAAAAAACAAACAAATAGTCATTCTGAATGTAAGCGAAAAAATAGACATTTTAAATTGTCGCGCCCTCCATTTCTATAAAATCCAATACTGGGTTCGGAAGCCGAAGAAAGTTACACGCAGCGTAACCACGACTCTCCCTGAAAAATGTAAAATTATCGAATAAAACAGCAATTAAATAATAAACACAATAAAAATGGAACACCCACACGAATATATTTCCAAGAAATGTGCATTAATATTGTTAGAAACCAAGATAATGAAGCTTATGTTCAAGTTTACATACAGTTCAAGAACAAGAAGAATTACAGATTAATAAATAAATATCTCGGGACATGTTTTTACACAACGTTATCTAGTTCCAAACAAAGCAAAGCTTGTTTTGGACTATGAGCACTAGGTAATTGTAAATAAATATTCCTTTTTTTTTTTTCATTTAAAAAACACTGCCCTTACTTTAGGATAATATTATCCTGTGTTGTAAGGACCTTTTACAAACATAAATTACACGCGGACATACACCCAGATGCGAAACAACCATCTGTGGGGTCACACAAATAGTTGTCCCGTGTGGGGATCGAACCCACGACCCCCGACGCCGAAGCCAATACCTTGGCGACTGCGCCACGGAGTCATCATATTGTAAATATATGAACCAAGAAAATGGACCTAGAAACCATGACACTAGAAAAACACTATGTTCATCACACGATACTTTTCCAGTAGTGAGTATCGAACCCACACCTTCCGGCGCAAGAGACCGGATCACTATCAACTATGCCAAGCGGGTCATAAACCCGCAAAGAAGAGCGAAAACCGCCGAAACAGCGAAAAAGTCCAAAAAAAAATTTACGCCGTAACATCAACAAGAAAAAGAAAGAAACAGATAGCATCAACGACGCGTCCGTATATCATGTATACGGCAAGAAAAAAAAAAAAAAAAAGAAGTAAAAAAGCGCGACAAACGAAACCCACCGGCGGCCGCCGGCTGCGGTTGGTTGAGGTGCACCTGCTCCTGGGCGGAGCTCTGCTGCTGCACCTGCTGCAGGTCGATGCCGAACTCCTTGCAGATGGGCGTGCAGAGGGCGCACAGCAGCTGCTCGAGGCAGCTCTGCGCCGGCGGGGCCTCCCCCCCGCCCACGCCCCCTCCCCCGCCCCCGCCCCCGCCCCAGGCGCCGCCGCCGTCGTACGCCCCGCCCCGCTTCATCGCTAGCTCTGTCCCGGGACGTGCGCACTTTTATTGCATCCGCACGGCCCACCGGGATATAGGGATGTCGAAAATTTATACCATAATATAGGGATGACGAAAATAATATCGATTTCTTCAATTTTATATATCGATATAGTTTCAGCTTATATATTTGGATCCGATATACCGATATAAATAATTCAATTTTTTTTTCGAATTCGAATCCGACCCAAAGTCCGTAGATGTCAAATATTTAATACTTCACATACCTTTTCTTTTTGGCCAACGAGGCTTCTACGACTTACATCCGATATATCGATATTTTCTCTTGGACATATCGTATTTTTATTAATATCGATACATCGATATATTTATTCACTTTCGACATCCCTATCCGAATAACGTCCCAGAGAGCCTAGAATGGACCCTCGGCCGTGGAGGGCAGGGGTAAGGAGAACAATTGCAGTGTGTACAACGTCAAACGTGTCCAGCGAAAAGCGTTAAATTGGCTGTGCTACGGTATATACATTACACAAGTACGGTAGGCACTTTCGATTACAAGTTTTATCAAAGAAATAAAAAAAGAATTGTATCAGAATTATTTCTTTGTTAATTTTTAAAATTAACGTAATTTTATGAATAATTTAGTTGTTTTATTTTCTTGAACTCACTTTTGCTGACAATAATTCAACTCTGCTAAGTAGATAAACCTTAGCCGAGCTAGCGCCACTCTGGGGGATTTTTGAACAGTTATTTACTACTTGCCGCTGGACATTTTTTCAACTTATAAGATTGTCCTTCTTAACTCTACAATCCAAAACGGCAAGGTCTCATCATTATGTGTGGGGTTAGTGGATTGCTGGCGTATTGGATTTCATAACTTTATATGCATCAATAATTAATATTAGTTGTGTCAATATAACAATATTGTAAAACAGTAGAAAATGTCATTTGTCAAACTGCATTTAGAAGCCTTCCGGATATGGAGTACAGTATAAGGAGTAGCATCTCATATGTGTTTTCAACTCGAAAAGTTTCCACAAAAATAATTTCTAATAAGGGTTCCATAAACGATCACAATGGCGCTAATGTTGCACAAGATTAAAACCTCAATGGCAATATAGAACTATTATAACAATATTTGGCGCTTTCTTTAAAATGCAGAACTTATGGTACAGTTCGCCATCTTAGTGTATCTATTTATGGACTCTTTCTATATATTGAGATAATACTCCTAATACTATACACTTCCTACTTTTAGACTACAAGAGGTCCTTGGCAACATTACACTGGGACAAAATTGATAACCCGTCACCGCCAGCTTATTTGTAGGATGACCGCAAATCGACTATAAAATAAAAAAAATGTCCCCTTATTTTTACGATGCCAATAAATGTAATCAATTACAGAATAATCACTATTTATATTAACATGTAATTTAAATAATGCACTACTAATTACATTTTTAGCAATATAAAGCTTAATTCATTAAGTTCTTGAATTTAGACGAAATATACTGGGAACATAATCTATGTTTATTTTTTAGATAAATGTTTTGTTACTTGACGTCATAATTTAACTATTAAATATGTAGTTTCATATTCTGCTTAAAATATATATATATATATATATATATACGGCGTGTCGTTACCATCGCGACAATAAATGAACACACGTCTAACGCTACGAGCCAATAATCATAAAAAAAATATTAACGTAAAACAAAATCCATAATTAAAAAAAAATTTTTTCAAACAAACTAATTAAGTAAAAAAGAAACAAAATTTCTAACATCCTATACAACTCGCGCCACAGCGTCGTATTACAAGCCTCTCCTTCTAACAGTATGTTTCGTCTCTTTTAAACTCATTCAACCCATTCATATGCTTTGTGACCTTTACAAATGAACTTTACGTTACGCTTTTATAGGTAAGGGTGCTCTAAAATTCTTTATTTTAAACTTAATAACTCACTTAATTTAATAACTCTGTAAATATTGATGTTTAAATAATTTAAACGTTTAATACAACTTTAAAAACTTATCCCCTATATGTGTGTTCATTTATTGTCGCGATGGTAACGACACGCTGTATATATAGCATTCAAGTCAAAAATATTTTTTTTTAATTTATTTCATAAAAGTTCCAGAAAACAATTTCCAAATCACATTACACAATTAGTGTCCGGTTGGATGCTGATGATTTTTAAGTTAAAGAAAACAAACTAAGATAAATGCTTATACTAGCTTATACTATTCAAATTTGTATAAATATAAATCCGGGAAAAATAACAAAATATTAGCAGCAACATATTTTTATAACTACTGTAAATAAAAGGAGTATAAAGAAAATAGACATTTACAAATAATATATGGATAGATAAAATACTTACATATTATCTCTTTCTCTCGTGGTCGCAAACAAAAATATCGTCAAAGCACGCTTTTAACACTTCACAGTAAGCATTATAACAACGAAAGCTCAAAATGGGCATTTTAAAACAATTTTAATCAACACAAAGTTAACTTCTGTCCCTTTAGATTTGGAAGGTGTTTATATTGTTTTTCCTGGATTTTAGTTGGTAATCAATATAATATGTTGCAGCTACATAGCTTGGCAACTGTAGTGTATATATAAAGAATTAATTGATAATTTGTTATTTAATAAGTAGAAAGCATGAAAAAATAATTATAACAAGGGAATTAAGACTTAAAACACAATGAACTAAAATAGAATACATTTTGAATTGACTTTTATGTAAAAAATATTTAAGGCTGTTGTGTAAACTTCCATCAAACATGGATACATTCGGATTGGATTACATTAAGTATATACAGCGAGTCTTTACCACCACGACAATAGATGAACACACGTTTAACGCTACTTGCCAATAACCATAAACAAATATTAACGTTAAAAAAATCCATAGTTAAAAAAAAATTTTCAAACAAAGTAATTAAGTAAAAAAGAAACAAAATTTGTAACATCCTATACAACTACAACTGACTTTTTTATTCGTTGCTATAGCGCCGCATTACAAGCGTCTCCTTCTAACAGTATATTTTGTCTCTTTTAAATTCATTCAACCCATTCATATGCTTTGCTACCTTTACAAATGAACTTTACATTAAAGTTTTATACGTAAGGGTGTTCTAAAATTCTTTGTTTTGGAAAATTTGATAACTCGGTAAATATTGATGTTTAAAGAATGTAAATCTTTAATACAATTTTAAAAAGTTATCCTCTATATGTGTGTTCATTTATTGTCGCGATGGTAAAGACACGCTGTATAATAAATGAGTATTTAGTAAAATATTTAAACGTTTTTTTATAAACACTGCAGTAATAAAGGGATAAAATTTTTTATTCTTCGCAGCAGTGTTTTTTTTTTAAACTATGAATGGTCAAACACAACAATGTCAAATAAATTGCTGTTCAGTATTTGTTAACCAATATGAATTATATACACATGTAAATCCCAGTTACTTATTAATTGCATGCAATTTAAAATATTTAATATTATTCTTATTTTATTCGTGGTTAATATGATCAAGAACTAGTTATTACATTAAAAAAAACCTTTTAGTGTGTATTTTGCAACAACTTTAGTACATATTGTGTATTTGTTTGTCATAAAAAATCTAGTAATATTTAATAAGTAGTTAATCTATATTTGCTATTGGAGCACCACTATTGGAGGTAGCGAGGACTATGTATAAATTGGTACAAGAACTAATAAAGCATCAATTGAGAGTTATTCTTTATATCTTTTAAATATGCTTATGAGTTTGCCGTAATTTATTACCAATGTATAATTAAACCCGCTTTAATAAAATAAAGACATCAAAGTATTTAACACATGATATGTAAATGTATAAAAGATTAACATTCATGGGAACATTTTTTAAGTATGTAAGACTAACTGTAAGTACTAATAGACCTAGGTTTTCTAATTTAATAAAACAACAAAAGAACCAAATTACTATTTTACTTTTCAGATTACTATGTGAGCAATATTTTTGCCTTTAATTACTTTCAAGTAAACATAAATATTTATATATTAAGAGAAAAAAGGTATTACAAGTTTCTTTTTTAATCATGAATTAGATATTAATATTATTATAGATATTTGAGAATTTTTGATATGTTCAGTTTATATATATTTAATATATAGATGTGTGTGCCTGTGTGTGTGTGTGTGTGTGTGTGTGTGTGTGTGTGTGTGTGTGTGTGTGTGTGTGCGTGCGTGTGTGCGTGTGTGTGTGTGTGTGTGTGTGTGTGTGTGTGTGTGTGTGTGTGTGTGTGTGTGTATGTGTGTGATTAAGATTATGAACAATTCGATACACACCTTCCCTCATGGCGTAGTCGAGTATTTCCTTCAACTCCTGCCAATCGACTTCGCCGTCGGCACCAGCCAAGCGGGTGAAGAAGTCGCGCACTGGATCTGTTGGTTCTGGGTTCGGCTCCACCTCTTTCACCTTGAAATTGAGAAACGAGAGCATGTTTTGGTGCGTTATATGTTGATGAGTACATGATTGAATACGATTATTATTTGATCGTGGCATTTGGCACAGGCGCTAAGGGTCATGTGGTCAACTCCGGGGCGATTATTCAATACTGTATATTGTTGTATTAACAACACACAATGTTCTCCTGTAGTACCGATGATGTAGTTTCCAAAGGTATACATACATATATGTGATCGCATCATATAGTTTTTAAAACATAATTTTGTCATTGAGAATTGGCACATTATCTTGTAGGTGTCAAGAGTTTCGGAGTTCTAAGTTGGAAATTTAATGCTTTTTATTTCGTAAGGAAGATGAAAGTTATTCGGTAAAACCAACGTGTTAACTTGTTTCTTGCCTCTGAAGTCCATGCGAGTTCATATGGGTCGTTCGGAAGGTTGGTAAAAGAATAGGAACGTCAATGACCTCGAATGACCGTGATCTGTAAACTGTCATTTGAAAACTATGGCTTGCAAAATAATTAATTTTATATATTGTAAAATTTAAAAACTTTTTCTTATATTTTTAAAATGTATTATCAAATAATATGAAGTCATAATTAGTTTTAAAACGGTTCTTTTTCTATTTTCATTGTTTAACTGAGCAACAACTTTAGTTATATTATACAGGTAACAAAATGCCTCATTTTCATTTTAAATAACAGTCGGTGGCGTATTTTAATGACCTACATTAATACATGTTCCATTTTTATAGCGGAAAATTGCAGTGATGATGGACACTGATGAAAAAGTGAGCGGAATTGAAGTGCTAGATGTCGATTAAAGCTTTTTCTCTCTCGCTTCAAACACAAATTTATTTGTAAATAAATACTATTTCAAAAATATCTTTCTTTTCACTGTTGTGACACGATAGTGCGAGGTCAGTCCTGTTCTTATTTGAATCGCATTGTAAATATCTATAAATTATAACCAGTAATATGTCATATTATACCTTCGTTGTATTTAGCAACACAATGTTTAACTGTAGTTGGGATAATGTAGTTTAACTGTAAACTATGGTTGAATATAAATTTTACACATACCCGATCGTCGACTTCGCCCATTCCCACGTCTTCGTCGTTCTCGCTGAAATTTGAAAGAGAAAACAATCATATAGTGCACTTTATAAGGAGGTACTCAATGGTTGAAAAAATTTACTTTATGTCTCGATAGGCTTAAAAATAACTTTTTATAAAAATGATAAAAATAACATAGTGGATTTGTATTATGTACGCACGTATGAACTTATACTTCTTTAATGAAACAAAAGAAAAATAACTAAAAATTTCATTCCCAGTGCCAACTCAAACTACTCTTTGTTTGTTAAAAAGATATTAAATACAATTGATAACGAGAAAAAATAACTTGGAATTATAGGTAAATGTAAAAAAAAATTATCGGTTGCCATAGTAATACCGTAAAGTTGGTCTCTTTGCAACCATCTTCATCATGCCACTGTTTGGGGGTCGGTGTGCGCGCGCATCGTTAATATTTAACTATCATAATTTTTCCAAATGAGGAAGAAGTAGTATAACTTCAAATTTAAAGGAAATAACGAAGATTATACTGCACGATTGCCTTCCACACACATCCATACATACATAATTCTGTAACAACTGAAGTTGTTATTGCAAAGTTTTTAGTATGAGCGAATGACCTTGAAATGTCTATCATTTGGGATATAACATAATTAAATGTAAGGGATGTATATAAACTATAATAAGGGATATAACTTTATATCCCGCTAAATATTTTATGTTTTAGCATATTCTCTTTATACATTTAAGCGTGTAGAGTTACAGAATATCCACACAAAGTAATGAAAAAAATATGGTTAGATCTCTTGAATACACATAATTAATCATGTGAAAGAGTGATAACATTATGTCTGTCTCTGTCTAATACGTATGGAAGTGAATGGAGGGTCTATTTTTAGTGCTAAAACGGAGACACAATATCAACCCAAACGGAGACCTTATGTCAATATTAATTTTTGTATGATACTAGTAGAGATAATTGACTTACGCCATGTTGTTGTCCTTTTCGGAGAAGACTCGCAGAAGGAACTCCCCCTCCTCATCAGGCTCGAAGGTCGACGGCACGATCACGTAGGAGCCGGGTTCGAGCTTGAATCTGTGTTAGGCGAAATTGAATACTTGTCCAATGTCAAAAAAATAAATCGGCCCGCCTTGCGCTTACCCCCCTGAGGTTGATGAAGGCCTACAAGAGGTCGATACGACATGGAGACCTTGAAGAAGAGAGTCTGTTCCTAGGTGCCTAAATGACGTCCATCAGGTTGATGCGACCGATACTACATAGGGACTCAAGAAGAGAGCCTATTCCTAGTCGCCCCGCCGGGTTGTTTGCTCGACCTTAAGGAAGAGTCCCCATCCCCGGAGTTTATTGCCTTCTTTTCCATGAAAAAAGAAAAGAATACCGGCCCACCTCGCGCTGACCTCCCTCAGGTTGATGAAGGCCTGTGAGCGACCTTTACGACTTGGGAACCTTAAGGAAGAGAGGCTATTCCTGGTGACCCAACCGCTTAGGGCCTAGGTGCCCCCCCCCCCCCTCCAGTCTATTGCCTCCTTTTACCATAAAAAGAAGAATCCGGCCCACCTCGCGCTGACCTCCCTCAGGTTGATGAAGGCCTGCGAGCGGCCCACCGAGGCGTTGTACTTGAAGTAGTTGAGGTCGAGCGGCCTGGGCACGTGGCCGTAGTCGGGCAGCCGGTACACGGCGAACCCGATGGTGAGGCACTCCAGCCCCTGGTGCCGCTGCGAGCGCCGGTTCTTCTGCATCAGTGCCACGATTATCTGCGGAAGACAATAACATTTCTCATCCGATCGCCATTCCAGCAGAGCCGTGATAGCTCGGTGTCCACGCGCTCGCCTTTAATTCAATATACTCGAGCAACCTGACTTCGATCACCGGTGCCGGCACCAATGAAGTTGTCAACTTTAAGTGCTCAATTTTCACGTGCTCAGCGGTGACGGAAAACATCGTGCGGAAAGCTGCATATTTTCGAAAAAATACCAAAAAAATATATTTCAAAGATATGTGATGTCCGCCAATCCGCAGTGGGGCCGCGTGGTGGACCATGCCCTGATACCCTCTGTCCGTCAGAGGAGGCCTTTGCCCAGCGGTGGGAAATGTATAGGCTGATACTTCACTTACATTACATCATTACAACCTACTTGGGTCCACCGCTGAACATAGGCCTCGCCCACGAACTGTCACCAAGCACGATTTTTATCTGAAACCTGTGAATAACTGTGGTGGGGCCACGCAGCAGCCTCGGCTGTTGCACGAATGGGCGGGCTCGTCCGGGTAAGTACCGCGACCTCACAGAAGACCGGCGTAAAGTGGAAGTATGACAAATACTTTCGCGTTTCGTCTGGTGAGTGAGGTGGCCGGGGCCCTGCACCCCTATGGGTCTTGCAAATATCCATGGGTGACGGTTTCCACTGAACATAAGGTGAACCGCTAGCCGCTGAAACGTTAGGGCGACTACGGCAGCCCAAATGTTTTAAGCGTCAAACGTTAGGGCGACTATGGCAGCCCAACCACTTTGTTAACTTTAAAAGTAATTTTCTCCATAGAATTGTCGTAGTGGTTCAATATCGCTAAAAAAGATGGTTCCTGATTAAATAACGCGTCTTTTGGTGGGTAGAACACAATAAACGGCGACAGCTACCCCCTCAAAAAAAAAATTGTTTACAAAAAACTGTTCGAAGTTATTTCAAGTGGTTGTGGGGTCCGCATTTACAATGTAAGTATTGATTTATTTATAAACGCAGTGTATTAGTATTATACATTGAAATAATCCTCATGAATATTTCTTTCATGATTTCATCAAATTATATGAATCAAAAGTCTAAAAGAATATTATTTCGGGTGATAAAATGAACACTTAAAAATCTACCCTCATTGTGCCGGTTTTCATAATTAAAATTGTCTTATATATTATATATTGTAGTAAAATATTCCTAGTAATTGTAAAAACAGTTCATTATTAACATTTAAAAACACTAAAAACGAAAGGATTGTTACGCAAACACTTATTATTTTACGTTTTTAAAATTGTCTTCCGCAGGTTTTTTGTATGGGCTGATGACGTCACACGAACGTCACGAAAAAGTATCAAAGTAAGGTTACATACAAACTGTGAACATGAGGGTATTTTCGTATTATCGCGTTTTTTTTATTTGGTGTGGTACATTCGTTTTATTTATTTTATTATAGGGTATTTTTGTTTTATCTTTTTCTAGGTCTGAAGTCTATGCCAAATACGAACCTTCTTTCACCATGCACTAATGTTTAAAAATAAAATCACATACGTCATTCCAAGCTGTCAAGACGGATCTTTGATTTTTAAGACGTCATCCTCCTAATCGTAATAATACTAATATTTATTGCAAGTTATCAAGACGTGAGAATGATATTGCGAAGACATGGACATGTGAGAGTGTAAGATGAACAAGCTTAATTATCTTTTTCATTTTACGTACTAATCGTAACTAAGCTTAATATTTCAGTTTATTCAAAGAAATATGTAAGTCGTTAAGGCTTTTGGATTTCAAGGAAGAAGCAGGCCACACCGATGTTGAAAGTAACCCCTTCCTGTTTGATGTTTTCAAAAATACTGGAACAATAATGAAAAATTTGGGAATGCCAGGAGCGCGTCATTAATCTTTGCGTTGAGGGCTGTTTTAAGGCATATCACCAGCCGTAAAATAAATAATATTAGCTGAGATATAGCTCACATACTGTTACTGTGCTTTTTTGTATTTTATTACAATATCATAAATACATATCTGCAATGAATGCTCATTTCAAATATTAAAAAAATGTGTCATAACTAAATATGTATATTATATACCGAAATTTAATAAAAATATATTTTATAAATAAATATGTGTTATACATGTTAATATATATGTTATTTAGAAATATAAGAATGTCATGTACCTATTTATGAAACAAAATATTTCTAACTAAATAATAAAAAAATAGATGAATAACCCTGTGTTTATGGCCTTATGGGCGGACATCTTGCCGTCGCATTGAAAAACAATCGAGTGTCTGATTTCAAGTGGAATAGGGTCTATGTTTATGTTTATTGTATAAAGTTTACACAATGAATGTTTACACTTTTGGTATCAAATTAAAGCTTATATTGTCTAGTTTAGTAAAGAATAAATATCAAATGAGATTTGATACAATTTATTTGTAAAAACTTGTTTAAAAAAATATTTACGTGAAATTTAACCAATATTCTCAACTTTCATATTTAATTCTTTGTTTTGGATTAATAGTTGTACTTTAATTTACACATATTTTGATTCCTTATAGTTTCAGCTTTATATACGTATTTTTTATTTCGCTTAAGCTGCCGTTATTTGCTAGAAAATATACTTTTAATCAGCCATGACGTAGGCGCTTGACGCAATTAATCACCGATCAGGTGACAAATCAGTGACGTCTATTCAGCTGTCAATAAGGGTTACATTTCAGTGGCTAGCCCGGTTGCCACCGTCTCGCATAAAAAGAAAATAGATTCAAATCCCGATGTCAGCTCCGGTGAAATTATTTTAAGTGTTTCGAAATAATAACAAAAAAAAAAAAAAATTCACTTTTAGAACCTTTATTTTTTAGGGTTCCGTACCCAGACAGTAAAACGGGACACTATTACTAAGACTCCGCTGTCTTTCTGTCTGTCAGCAGGCTGTATGTATCTCATGTCAGTTGAAATTTTCGCAGATGATGCCTCATGCATTTCTGTTGCCGCTATGACAATTTTTTTTGTAGCTTTTATATGATATATATATATATTTGTGTATATATATATATATATATATATATATATATATATTTATATGATATATATAATGGTATGGAACCCTTCGTGCTCGTACGACTCGCACTTGGCCAATTATTTAAATTTTGTTTAAAGCCAGCATCAAGTATTTGTACAATTACGAAACGATACGATAAACGTAGCCAACTCACGGTGCATTTGTTCTCATCGTCGCCTTCATCCACGTCTTTCAAGGTGACAGTGTACTGAGGATTCTTCCAGAAGGTCTCCAAGTAATTTCTGCATCCGCCAGCGGTTACACCTGCAAAATCATTCATCTTTAAACAATACCAAATCGATTTATCTTAATAAAATAAATCTCTATGATGAGATGAATTCAAGCAAACAGAAATCATTTCAAAGAGGCAACGGAAAATTTAAATTCCATCATGAAATCCAAACGCAACAGCGTTTGTTTTGTACGAATTACGAAGCAAAATACAAGAGCCCCACAGAAGAGCGGACGAATGCACGTCTAGTTACTAACATAATACTTACTTCTGAATTCCATCTCTAGTAACCAAATCTACAGATATATGGAATACTAAAACCGGCCGTATAACTATAAATCAAGTAAATATATGTAGTAGTAACATTTATATAGTACCTCTGACCCATTCCCCTTCGAAGACGGACATCTCCCACTTCTTGGTGCATCCTTCGGGGCACTCTTCCGGATCCAGCGAGTCTGGGTTCAAATTGCAAATCTCCACTCTGTAATTTAAAAAATTGCCTGATTAATAACAAAAGTTGACTAAGACATCACACTCTTTTAGCTTTACCTGAGATTTTTACTAAATTTCTTAATAACAAACTTTGCGTTTAATATTTAACGCTGCCTTGCCTATTCAACAGATTCTTTTTAATTATTTAAAAAAAAATGCTGGTCGTCACGGGATGTCTGGCAGATGTGAATCATCTCAATCAATAACCAATATAACATTTTTTCATATAAACATGTCGATGAGTTTTTATCGAACTAATTTTGCACACAAATATAATTATAATTTTATTTTGGGACCACATGGGAAGCACCAGCTTTCAAATAAAAAAAGAATCATCAAGATCCGTTCACTCAATCAAAAGTTCTGAGGTACATAAAAAAAAATGGTCGAATTGAAAACCTTCTCTTTAAGTCGGTTAAAAAAGCTGACAACACCACTTGCCGGTTCTTCTCTGGACAGGTCTAATTTAGTCTAGTATCGATTTTACTGACAAGGCTAGCCAATAGATGTTTCACATCAAAAATATTACAAAGTCTAAACAGTTGATGATTCCGTAGCACAGTTGCCAAGGTACTGGCTTCGGCGCCGGGGGTAGTGGGTTCGATATGCCACACGGAGCAACTATTTGTGATCCCCGCAGATAACTGTTTCAGATTTGGGTGTTTTTCCACGTGGAATTTATGTTTGTAAAAAAAAAATAAAGTTACAGCCTATACATATCCCACTGCTGGGCAATGGCCTCCTCTTTGACAGAGGGTATCAGGGCATAGTTCACCACGCGGCCCCAATGCGGATTTTTGAACTTCACATATCTTACGAAATTTTTTTAATTTTTTTGTTATTGTTTTGACAATGTGCAAGTTCCCTCACGATGTTTTCCTTCACCGTTGGGCACGTGACAAAGTCAGCACTTAAAATTAACAATTTCACTGGGGCCGGCACCGGGGATCGAACTCAGGTTGTTCGAGTATATTGTATTAAAGGCGAGCGCCCGGACACTTAAAACACAGGAGTATCCTACAATAATGGGTGATAGCTCCGCAGTGAAGAAGAACATCGTGAGGAAACCTGCATATTTTCGAAATAATAATAAAAAAAATATATTACGAAGATATGTGAAGTCCGCCAATCCGCAGTGGGGCCGCGCGGTGGTGGACTCTGTGTAGGAGGCCTTTGCCCAGCGGTGGGACATGTATAGGCTGTTACTTTTTTTACAATAATGGGTACCTGTCGAAGTGGGTGACGAAATCCTTGTAGGACATCCAGAACTCGCCGTCATCATCGAAGGTCAGGCCCAGCTCCTCTTTCTCCGACTCGTGGATGAACCGCCACTCAGGCGATCTGTGCATAGACATCTTGTTTACATAACGCACGATAAGTTAAAGGTACAAAAAATATCCTGTTAATGAATACAATATAAATTACACTAATCAATGTTATTTTCACATAGACATAGGCCAATAGCATTTTTATGTGAAAAGGTGGCAAAAAGGCGGTTCGCCTGATGTTAAGTGACAAGTGGCAACCACCACCTATTGACGATTGAAAACCCCAATGTTGCAGATGCGTTGCCACCTTTTTATAAAGGCCTCTGCAACTTCACTCTCAAAAATCTGTATATTCATTAATGTACAGCATGTCGTTGCCATCGCGACAATAAATGAACACACGTCTAACGCTACTTGCCAATAATCATAAAAAAATATTAACGTTAAACAAAATCCATAATTAAAAAAAATATTTTTCAAACTAATTGAGTAAAAGAGAAACAAAATTTGTAGCATCTTATACAACTCGCGGCACAGCGTCGCATTACAAGCCTCTCCTAACAGTATGTTTTGTCTCTTTTAAATTCATTGAATATATGCTTTGTGACCTTTACAAATGAAATTTACATTAAAGTTTTATACGTAAGGGTGTTCAAAAATTCTTTGTTTTGGAAAATTAACTCTGTAAATATTGATGTTCAAAGAATTTAAATGTTTAACACAACTTTAATAATAAGTTATCCCCTATACGTGTGTTCACTTATTGCCGCGGTGGCAGCGACACGCCGTATATCGATAACCAAATGCGAAGCGGGCACCGACTTGTCGCTCCAGGGCCCGTTCCACTCGGCCTCGTTGCCCCAGGGGTTGCGCAGCCGCAGCAGCGGGATCTTGCCCGCGCGCCCCGGCGTCTCGATGTCCACGTACTTGACGCGCGTCACAGAGTACGCGTGGCCGCGGATCAGCCCCGCCGGCGTCTCCGCCTCCAGCACGTTAGGGTCCGGCTGGAGATGCACACCACATTCGTTCACTCTACGGTCGGTCATTCGTCAGTTCACTCACTTGGGCCTGCCGCTCGCCTCCGGCTAGAGATACACACGACATTCGTTCACTCTACGGTCGGTCATTCGTCAGTTCACTCACTTGGGCCTGCCGCTCGCCTCCGGCTAGAGATACACACGACATTCGTTCACTCTACGGTCGGTCATTCGTCAGTTCACTCACTTGGGCCTGCCGCTCGCCTCCGGCTAGAGATGCACACCACATTCGTTCACTCTACGGTCGGTCATTCGTCAGTTCACTCACTTGGGCCTGCCGCTCGCCTCCGGCTGGAGATACACACGACATTCGTTCACTCTACGGTCGGTCATTCGTCAGTTCACTCACTTGGGCCTGCCGCTCGCCTCCGGCTAGAGATACACACGACATTCGTTCACTCTACGGTCGGTCATTCGTCAGTTCACTCACTTGGGCCCGCCGCTCGCCTCCGGCTAGAGATACACACGACATTCGTTCACTCTACGGTCGGTCATTCGTCAGTTCACTCACTTGGGCCTGCCGCTCGCCTCCGGCTGGAGATGCACACCACATTCGTTCACTCTACGGTCGGTCATTCGTCAGTTCACTCACTTGGGCCTGCCGCTCGCCTCCGGCTGGAGATGCACACCACATTCGTTCACTCTACGGTCGGTCATTCGTCAGTTCACTCACTTGGGCCTGCCGCTCGCCTCCGGCTAGAGATACACACGACATTCGTTCACTCTACGGTCGGTCATTCGTCAGTTCACTCACTTGGGCCCGCCGCTCGCCTCCGGCTAGAGATACACACGACATTCGTTCACTCTACGGTCGGTCATTCGTCAGTTCACTCACTTGGGCCTGCCGCTCGCCTCCGGCTGGAGATGCACACCACATTCGTTCACTCTACGGTCGGTCATTCGTCAGTTCACTCACTTGGGCCTGCCGCTCGCCTCCGGCTGGAGATGCACACCACATTCGTTCACTCTACGGTCGGTCATTCGTCAGTTCACTCACTTGGGCCTGCCGCTCGCCTCCGGCTGGAGATGCACACGACATTCGTTCACTCTACGGCTCGGGGTCGGTCATTCGTCAGTTCACTCACTTGGGCCTGCCGCTCGCCTCCGGCTAGAGATACACACGACATTCGTTCACTCTACGGTCGGTCATTCGTCAGTTCACTCACTTGGGCCTGCCGCTCGCCTCCGGCTAGAGATACACACGACATTCGTTCACTCTACGGTCGGTCATTCGTCAGTTCACTCACTTGGGCCTGCCGCTCGCCTCCGGCTAGAGATATACACACGCATTCGTTCACTCTACGGTCGGTCATTCGTCAGTTCACTCACTTGGGCCTGCCGCTCGCCTCCGGCTAGAGATACACACGACATTCGTTCACTCTACGGTCGGTCATTCGTCAGTTCACTCACTTGGGCCTGCCGCTCGCCTCCGGCTGGAGATGCACACCACATTCGTTCACTCTACGGTCGGTCATTCGTCAGTTCACTCACTTGGGCCTGCCGCTCGCCTCCGGCTGGAGATGCACACCACATTCGTTCACTCTACGGTCGGTCATTCGTCAGTTCACTCACTTGGGCCTGCCGCTCGCCTCCGGCTGGAGATGCACACCACATTCGTTCACTCTACGGTCGGTCATTCGTCAGTTCACTCACTTGGGCCTGCCGCTCGCCTCCGGCTGGAGATGCACACCACATTCGTTCACATCTACGGTCGGTCATTCGTCAGTTCACTCACTTGGGCCTGCCGCTCGCCTCCGGCTGGAGATGCACACCACATTCGTTCACTCTACGGTCGGTCATTCGTCAGTTCACTCACTTGGGCCTGCCGCTCGCCTCCGGCTGGAGATGCACACCACATTCGTTCACTCTACGGTCGGTCATTCGTCAGTTCACTCACTTGATGCACACCACATTCGTTCACTCTACGGTCGGTCATTCGTCAGTTCACTCACTTGGGCCTGCCGCGCCTCCGGCTGGAGATGCACACCACATTCGTTCACTCTACGGTCGGTCATTCGTCAGTTCACTCACTTGGGCCTGCCGCTCGCCTCCGGCTGGAGATGCACACCACATTCGTTCACTCTACGGTCGGTCATTCGTCAGTTCACTCACTTGGGCCTGCCGCTCGCCTCCGGCTGGAGATGCACACCACATTCGTTCACTCTACGGTCGGTCATTCGTCAGTTCACTCACTTGGGCCTGCCGCTCGCCTCCGGCTGGAGATGCACACCACATTCGTTCACTCTACGGTCGGTCATTCGTCAGTTCACTCACTTGGGCCTGCCGCTCGCCTCCGGCTGAGATGCACACCACACGACATTCGTTCACTCTACGGTCGGTCATTCGTCAGTTCACTCACTTGGGCCTGCCGCTCGCCTCCGGCTGGAGATGCACACCACATTCGTTCACTCTACGGTCGGTCATTCGTCAGTTCACTCACTTGGGCCTGCCGCTCGCCTCCGGCTGGAGATGCACACCACATTCGTTCACTCTACGGTCGGTCATTCGTCAGTTCACTCACTTGGGCCTGCCGCTCGCCTCGGCTAGAGATACATACCTCATTCGTTCACTCTACGGTCGGTCATTCGTCAGTTCACTCACTTGGGCCTGCCGCTCGCCTCCGGCTGGAGATGCACACCACATTCGTTCACTCTACGGTCGGTCATTCGTCAGTTCACTCACTTGGGCCTGCCGCTCGCCTCCGGCTGGAGATGCACACCACATTCGTTCACTCTACGGTCGGTCATTCGTCAGTTCACTCACTTGGGCCTGCCGCTCGCCTCCGGCTGGAGATGCACACCACATTCGTTCACTCTACGGTCGGTCATTCGTCAGTTCACTCACTTGGGCCTGCCGCTCGCCTCCGGCTGGAGATACACACGACATTCGTTCACTCTACGGTCGGTCATTCGTCAGTTCACTCACTTGGGCCTGCCGCTCGCCTCCGGCTGGAGATGCACACCACATTCGTTCACTCTACGGTCGGTCATTCGTCAGTTCACTCACTTGGGCCTGCCGCTCGCCTCCGGCTGGAGATACACACGACATTCGTTCACTCTACGGTCGGTCATTCGTCAGTTCACTCACTTGGGCCTGCCGCTCGCCTCCGGCTAGAGATACACACGACATTCGTTCACTCTACGGTCGGTCATTCGTCAGTTCACTCACTTGGGCCTGCCGCCTCCGGCTAGAGATACACACGACATTCGTTCACTCTACGGTCGGTCATTCGTCAGTTCACTCACTTGGGCCTGCCGCTCGCCTCCGGCTGGAGATGCACACCACATTCGTTCACTCTACGGTCGGTCATTCGTCAGTTCACTCACTTGGGCCTGCCGCTCGCCTCCGGCTGGAGATGCACACACACATTCGTTCACTCTACGGTCGGTCATTCGTCAGTTCACTCACTTGGGCCTGCCGCTCGCCTCCGGCTGGAGATGCACACCACATTCGTTCACTCTACGGTCGGTCATTCGTCAGTTCACTCACTTGGGCCTGCCGCTCGCCTCCGGCTGGAGATGCACACCACATTCGTTCACTCTACGGTCGGTCATTCGTCAGTTCACTCACTTGGGCCTGCCGCTCGCCTCCGGCTGGAGATGCACACGACATTCGTTCACTCTACGGTCGGTCATTCGTCAGTTCACTCACTTGGGCCTGCCGCTCGCCTCCGGCTGGAGATGCACACCACATTCGTTCACTCTACGGTCGGTCATTCGTCAGTTCACTCACTTGGGCCTGCCGCTCGCCTCCGGCTGGAGATGCACACCACATTCGTTCACTCTACGGTCGGTCATTCGTCAGTTCACTCACTTGGGCCTGCCGCTCGCCTCCGGCTGGAGATGCACACCACATTCGTTCACTCTACGGTCGGTCATTCGTCAGTTCACTCACTTGGGCCTGCCGCTCGCCTCCGGCTGGAGATGCACACCACATTCGTTCACTCTACGGTCGGTCATTCGTCAGTTCACTCACTTGGGCCTGCCGCTCGCCTCCGGCTGGAGATGCACACCACATTCGTTCACTCTACGGTCGGTCATTCGTCAGTTCACTCACTTGGGCCTGCCGCTCGCCTCCGGCTGGAGATGCACACCACATTCGTTCACTCTACGGTCGGTCATTCGTCAGTTCACTCACTTGGGCCTGCCGCTCGCCTCCGGCTGGAGATGCACACCACATTCGTTCACTCTACGGTCGGTCATTCGTCAGTTCACTCACTTGGGCCTGCCGCTCGCCTCCGGCGGTCGGTCATTCGTCAGATGCACACCACACGACATTCGTTCACTCTACGGTCGGTCATTCGTCAGTTCACTCACTTGGGCCTGCCGCTCGCCTCCGGCTGGAGATGCACACCACATTCGTTCACTCTACGGTCGGTCATTCGTCAGTTCACTCACTTGGGCCTGCCGCTCGCCTCCGGCTGGAGATGCACACCACATTCGTTCACTCTACGGTCGGTCATTCGTCAGTTCACTCACTTGGGCCTGCCGCTCGCCTCCGGCTGGAGATGCACACCACATTCGTTCACTCTACGGTCGGTCATTCGTCAGTTCACTCACTTGGGCCTGCCGCTCGCCTCCGGCTGGAGATGCACACCACATTCGTTCACTCTACGGTCGGTCATTCGTCAGTTCACTCACTTGGGCCTGCCGCTCGCCTCCGGCTAGAGATACACACGACATTCGTTCACTCTACGGTCGGTCATTCGTCAGTTCACTCACTTGGGCCTGCCGCTCGCCTCCGGCTGGAGATGCACACCACATTCGTTCACTCTACGGTCGGTCATTCGTCAGTTCACTCACTTGGGCCTGCCGCTCGCCTCCGGCTGGAGATGCACACCACATTCGTTCACTCTACGGTCGGTCATTCGTCAGTTCACTCACTTGGGCCTGCCGCTCGCCTCCGGCTAGAGATACACACGACATTCGTTCACTCTACGGTCGGTCATTCGTCAGTTCACTCACTTGGGCCCGCCGCTCGCATCCGGCTAGAGATGCACACCACATTCGTTCACTCTACGGTCGGTCATTCGTCAGTTCACTCACTTGGGCCTGCCGCTCGCCTCCGGCTGGAGATGCACACCACATTCGTTCACTCTACGGTCGGTCATTCGTCAGTTCACTCACTTGGGCCTGCCGCTCGCCTGCGGCTGGAGATGCACACCACATTCGTTCACTCTACGGTCGGTCATTCGTCAGTTCACTCACTTGGGCCTGCCGCTCGCCTCCGGCTGGAGATGCACACCACATTCGTTCACTCTACGGTCGGTCATTCGTCAGTTCACTCACTTGGGCCTGCCGCTCGCCTCCGGCTGGAGATGCACACCACATTCGTTCACTCTACGGTCGGTCATTCGTCAGTTCACTCACTTGGGCCTGCCGCTCGCCTCCGGCTAGAGATACACACGACATTCGTTCACTCTACGGTCGGTCATTCGTCAGTTCACTCACTTGGGCCTGCCGCTCGCCTCCGGCTGGAGATGCACACCAGATTCGTTCACTCTACGGTCGGTCATTCGTCAGTTCACTCAGCGACGTCGCCCGCTCGCCTCCAGCACGTTCGGGTCCGGTTGGATGACGTCATGAAATAACATTCGGTCACTGTACTGTCGGTCTCCGGCACGTTCGGGTCAGTTTGAAGGCCAACATTTATTCACGGTACGATCATTCATTTGTTAGTTCACGCAGTAGCGACAACCGCTCACGTCCAGCACGTTTTGGCCCAGTTGAATGAGAACATACATTCATGGTCGCTCGTTCACTGAGCGACGGCCGCTATCAATTTTCGGGTCCGGCTGACGCAAACAAAAACGGAACGAGTTACAGTCGTTCGTTCACGGTACGGTCGGTCGCTTAATAATTCATTCAGTAGCCGTTCGCTCGCTCACACGATCATTCGTTCACTCGTTGATTCAATTGTTGGCGACCTAAGTCACTTGCTCACCCACACATTCACACATTCATTTGAAGATTTAGTTGATGCGAATAAAAGAGCGTTAGATTCAAATAGAGTATAAATCATTCGTCCATGCAACTTCGGTTTTCCTCCCTCTATACAGGTTGTTACCACACTTTAGATTTTCAATCCAAAGCCATCGCATCGTATAAGGAGTACATACGGAACACACACAAGGCAATCTGTACCTCGATGCTGCATCCCATGAGCGAGTTCCTCTCATATGCCTTCAGCAAGATCGTGTAGAAGTTGGGCGGCAGCTCTGTTTTGTCGTACATCTCGGTGACGCCGCCCGTGAAGTCCTCCATCGCCTCGCAAGTGGAGCCGCCCTTCAGCGCCTCGTAGGACCCGTGCAGTCTGTTGAAACGAAGCCGTTAGAGATCTCTACACACTCTCTAATCTTCTTCTCTTTCTAACACACACTGGCCAAGCCTCGTAAGACCCGTGCAATCTGTTAAAACAAATTCGTTAGAGATCGTCACGTAAGAAAAACTGTTATGCCCTCTCCGTTCGACTCTCAGTGACACACTCTCTCTTTCTAACACACCCTAGTCAAGCCTCGTTAGACCCGTGCAGTCTATTGAAACGAAGCCGTTAGACACCGTCACGTTACGCCGTTACGCCCCTCTTCGATTCTCAGCGACACAAGCTGCCTTAGTAACACACGCTAGTCAAGCCTAGCAATCTGTTAAAGCGAAGTCCTTTAAGACGAGCCATGCGCGCGAGTTGGTAGAGATCGTCACGTAAGAGGAACCTTTATGCCCCCGCCGTTCGATTCTCTCTCTCTCTTTCTAACACACTATAGTTAATTGTCCGTGGCGCCACGCAACTATATATATATATAAAATTATATAAAATTATATATATATATATATATATATATATATATATATAATTTTTTTCAAAGCAATAGTCGAACTTTAATATTGAATATGGGCTTGTTTTAAGGTCTAATATCTTTAACATTCAACGTAAAAAAAACTACGAACAGTTCACTAATTTAGACGTTCTCGTCTACTCTTCTACTTTGTTTTATATCACATTTTTGTGGTGTTCGTTAATTGGTTAAAACACATTGAGATTTTCGTTGGCGTGACGGTAAGGTGAAGCTCAAGGTGTCTCAGCGAACTATGGACGGCTATGCTCGGTATCACTCTGAGATATCCACAGTAGAGCACAGATAACCGATGCAGCTCAGAAGATTAGTGAGCTGAAGTGGCGATGGGCAGGCCAACGTTGTTTAGTAGCAGTGTTGTATTGGCTATCGGAGTGTACTGTGTATAACGTCCCTCCACCAGGAGTGACGGTGTGTGCAAATTGTGCGGGAAATCGATGGATGCTCAGGATTGCGCTTTGTGGCAGTCTATGGGGGAGCTCTATGTTCAGGCAGTGGACTCTAACAGACTGAAGTGATGCTGATGTTAAGCCGTTTAGTTCAGTGGCTTAAAGTTAAAGTATTTACAAAAAAAAAACTTTCGATTAAAAATTTCCTATACAGGATGTACGATAATACCCTCTATTAACGATTTGTCTAAACGGAAGATGAAAAAGTATTTTCCAAAATATACCTTTCATTGATAAATACTTATTGATACTTATATTAAATATATTACCATTCGGCGACTTACCACTATGGTGGTCCTGGAACAAAACTCCTTTTAGGCTCAAGTTCGCCTTTGTACATAGAAAGTAGTTTCTTCCCATTTTTTATACTTTTTTACATTTTTTTAATTTATTCACGTTGTGTTTACAATAAAGAAAACAGAAACAACCCGACAGAACCACTTAAGCTCGCCTTCGCACATACTATTGCCGTATCTGCGATACTTTTCTTTCTTATTTTTCCATTGATTTCGCACTCACTTGGCGTACGCCTTCTCCAGTAGGGCGCTCCAGAACTCGTTCCTCTCCGAGGAGTGGAGGAAGACCAGCTTGCCGCGGTACGTCGGCAGCCGGTCGTCGATCACCACGTCCACCCACCGCCCGTACTGCCAGAAACTGGAAACGAAAAATTATTTATTTTCATATTTGCAAATTAGTTCAACGTTCCCTACACATGACATCAAGGTCGCCTCGCAGACAATGGTATTTAATAAAGATGGCACATGTCCATACTGCGTGCCCTTTAAAAATTGAGAGAGAGTAGTATAAAAAATTACAATCCAATTTCACCAATTGACGTAAAGTGTCAGCCTATACATGTCCCACTGCTGGGCAAAGGCCTTCTCTGGACAGAGGGTCCACCACGCGGCCCTACTCCAGATTGGCGGATTTATGACAATTGACGTAATTTGAGTGAATCACGTAATCAATGACGTAATTATTTAGGTGTGCTAGTTTCACATCTACCTCGTATTTGTATATACTCGTAATATCATTGCAGGCAGATAATGCTGACGGCATTAAGTCCGCCCTTGTAAATATATGTTTGTGTATAAAGAAAAAATAAATATATTATCTTTATCTGACTTTTTTTTATTTATATTTCTATAAAAAAAACTATGAGAGTTAAATTTTTAGGACGAGCGCGCACACCGACAGTCAAAAGGCGACATGATATAAAGTTGGTTGCAAACTCCCCTTAATGTTTTAAAGATTCCTTACTGCCCTGATCTCCCCTTAATCTTCTGAAGATTCCTTCTAGCCCTGATCTCCTCTTAATCTTTTGAACAATCCTTATTGCCCTGATCTCCCCTTAATATTTTGAAGATTCCTTACTGTCCTGATCTCCCCTTAATCTTTTAAAGATTCCTTCCAGCCCTGGTCTTCCATTTATCTCTTGAAGATTCCTTCCTACCCTGATCTCGCCTTAATCTATTGTAGATGCGAAATTACTTTCGAAAGAAACAAAGAAAACCTTCACTCACCGGAAGTGGAACACGCCGGCGTAATCCTCATCGAAGCTCTGGTCATCAGGCACCACTTGGAAGAACAGTCTGAAAGCAATGTTAGTAGATATTAACGCAACGGCCTTTGGAAAGAGACAATCGGCTTATTCCGGCCTAATAGCGCGTCGTCTATGTCTCACACTTGTATGACAACTATCAAACGTCACATTGGCAGTGTATGATAGAGATAGCGCTCCAAGAATCCGAAATTAGCCTATTATCCTTCCAAAGTTCGATGTACAATATCGTTGTAATCAATTATCGCTTGTACTATACTGATGTTCTATGCTCTGTAAATAATGTGAATAATTGTAAATACTGTTTATTTATATTTATATTCTTCTTATATGAAACTAGAATTCTCAATATGTCCCACAGCTCGGCTATGTAGGTACTTCTCTGTACGTAGGGTATTAAAAAATAATTATCACACGATTTGTCTTCTTAATTAGCTTCTTAATTTCTCCTTCAGCATGTTTTTCTTCGCTGATATTCTGAACTTTTTATGTACGCGCGACGGAAATCGAACCTAGGACGCCGTATTACTGCAAGCCACTGAGCCAACTCGGCCGAAGAGGTTAATCGGATCGTGTTCAAGGTCACAAAATTTTCAATTAACGATTGTGGGTCAAAGTTAATTAGTGCATCAAACTAACGAGGTCGTGATATCATTGTGATTGATTTCAAATATGAAGACTCTGGGTTTGGACGGTGTTAGAATAGTATCCATATTTTTTATGGGAAAACTTGCCAAGCAAGCAGACGGTTCACCTGATGTTAAGTGAATACCGCCGCTTACACGCGAGGGTTAGAGATGCGTTGATAACCTTTTTAAAATTGGGCTCCGGCCACCTCACTTAGCAGACGAAACGCGAAAGTATTATACTTTCACTTTACGACGGTTTTCTGTGAGGTCGTGTTACTTACCTGGACGAGCCAGCCCATTCGTGCAACAGTTGAGGCTGCTGCGTGGCCCATTTCTATTTTTCCTCATACACATATTTTTACGCCATCATTTTTCATTTGTAATGAATAATTATTAACATATATCTATAGAAAAAAGGTCTGCAATTTTAATAAAAATATATATTTTTATTATATTTATATACGGTCGAATTGAGAAACCTCCTCCTTTATCAATTCAAAATAGTAGCATGACTGGATAAATATTAGACCATAATTTTGCAGAAAAGTTGTGGCATACCCCTAAATAAAGCACAATTAAAGAACGGGAATTTTCAAATGTCGAACGCAATACCCTAGATAAGAGATGGATTTAGCACCATAAAACAGAAACATTTTATGTAACCGACAAATATTAACATTATATCATACATTATCAGGAAAGCCAATGTCGAACGAACGCAATGCAGGAGGCGATAATTCGTATCGTCATTACAATTATAACACAACAGGAAAACGATAGCCATGCAAAAAAATTGCATGTTATTGGTTTGTCGTTTTTCAACAGTATGATTACAAGTCAAGCCTACAACTAGCGGTGGTAGGTCCACGCAATGGTCTCCGGCTGTTGCACGAATGTGCAGGTCCGTCCGGGTAAGTACCACGACCTCACAGAAGACCGGCGTCATGTGGAAGTGTTACACTCCTGCGTTTCGTCCGGCGTGTGAGGTGGCCGGGGCTCACTTTAAGGTGGCAACGCATCTGCAACCCTACGGGTGTTGCAAATGTCCATGGAGGAGCCGTCAGCTCGCTCACCACGTACTCACATAAAATAATACAAAAGTCTGTCTGTCGTCCAATCAAAAATTATCACCAGGGTTTAATTTAATTATATCGTCTGGCGCAATGCATACACGCCGTTATCTTTTTTTTAAAGGTTGTCAAGTGAGCTAGTGATTCGGCTGATGTTAAGTGAATACCTTCACCAATTGTTAATTAAAGGATTTTGGTGATTCTGGCGAGTTAGGTCAGCTAGCCCACTCACAGGAATCGTAAAATCTACACGGTTTCTCATTTTGGGGGCCAAGAGCCGGGTGAGACCGACCAAATGGAAAACGCTGCACTAGGGTACGCAAGCTCGATCGAGTCATCATCTTCATATCAGCCTGTTCGAGTCCACCGCTGAACATAGGCCTCCGCCATAGACTGCCACGAAGTACGATACTGAGCAACCTGCATCCATCGACTTCCCGCCCGCTTGCACAGGTCGTCACTCCATCTAGTAGTCATCGCGCTCGATCGGGTAATCTAACATAAATACTCACTTCCTATGCAGAGTGAGGTTGGCCACCGCCGCGAGGAGCCAGCAGTCGCCGAGCTCGCCCTGTTGCACGTCGAAGCGGCTGTAGCCTTCGACGAACAGCTGCGGATCTTCGCATATCTCCTGTAAAATAGCAACATCATCATCATCACCATTATCAGTGTAAAATACTTATAATATCACCATTCACACTAGATCAGAGTTCGGCTGTCTAGGTAACTATCCACCACACAGGTCCACTCCGTACAACCACTCCTTACACACTGACTGTCAGTTGACTTCCCCCACTATATACCTCTCGACTTCCCCCACTACAACCCTCACTCCCACCTGTACACTACAATCAGCATCGGCCGACGTCCACTGTTGAACATAGGCATCCCCCCCCAGAACGCCACAACGAACGATACTTTGCCGTTTGCATCCACGGATTGCCCGCGAATCTTACGATGTATATGTAATCGCGGCAGCTTCTAGAATAATCCACCGTTGAGGATAGAAACGTAAGAAGGTGAAATAGCGGCCTATATATGCCGCTGATTATGACTACTGCTGATTTATCTATTTAGGTTATCTACCCCACCCTCCTATGCAGATTGGCAGACTTAATAAGACATGTGATGTCTTTGAAACTCAATTAGTTATAATTAAAGTAATAATAAATATTTGAGGACACATTTTAACACAACGTTCTCTAGTCCCGAACTAAGCAACGCTTGTGCTATGGGGACTAGACAACTTATAAACATAGTTGAACATACTTGTTTTTGTGAGATATTTGAAATCTCTTTTGTTTTTCGTTAATAATTCATTGTTGGCAACGCATCAGCAACCCGTCAGGTGTCGTACATTTCCATGGACGCCGATAATCAATTAACACTAGGTAAACTTAACAGTAACTTTCAGATTTAAAAGAAAACTGTTTAGAGTCTACGAGAGAGAGAGCGAGATAACTGAGAAACACTTACAGAGGGCCGGAGCCACGTGATGGGGCGGTCCAACCTCTCCTTGTAGTACAGGCTGCGGTCTATTGCCGGGAACTCCGGATCCTCGAACAGTCTACCGTCGGCTAGGCACCTGGAGCGTATGTCCTTGAAGTCTTGATACGTCGCTGGTCCGAAAGAAGTGGGGCGGGTCTCGCCGAGCTGTTGAAATAAATTACACAGATAAATAAATATATATAACTTTATTCGCCACGAAAATAAGAATACGCAGAAAAAAAATCTCGATAGGGCCGCGCCACAGTCTTCGCTGTTGCAAGAATGGGCAGGTCCGGCCAGGGAAGTACCCCGGCCTGATAGAAGACCGGCGTGAAGTAGAAGTGTTAGGTAGGTATGGTAACCGCGGTCTATTATTAAAAGGTGGCAACCTTTGTGGCATGTGCAACCCTTCGGAATAGTGGATGTTATCGGCGGCGGCGGCCGTTATTGCTTTAAAATCCGGTGAACCGCCAGCTAGCTTCCCACCTTCTCAAATAAAAAAAATAAAACTAACGCCCATATTTAGTAGTAATGAAAAAAAAAAAATAAAACCCTAAAGCAAATCACACATAAGCAATCTATATAAATATAACTATAGAGGTCCGCAGATTTGCGCGCATCAAGGGAAAATTACCGAACAGATTTTCAATAACTCTTCAAAGTTTTATTTCTTAGGCACTTGCGCCTTATCTAATAAAAATTATTATAATATCTTCGTTTAATGTAAAGTTAAAGTTTTATGAAACAACGATTAACGCATTTTTTATGTGAGAGCTACGAGTTTTTTTATGTGAGAGGTGGCAAGCGAGTCAGCGGTTCACAACACCCGTAGGGTTGCAGATGCGTTGCCACCGATGTGTTCTTGCTTTCAAGTGGGGCAAGCGGTGTTAAAACAGCAATACTATAAACAACGCAGACGAAGTCGTGGGATTCAAATAGTTATAAAGTTAAAGACAAAAAGGTAGCTCAACCTTAATCTTAAAAAAGTCCTCAGTTCTGATCTTCAGCTCATCTATTAATACGGGTACATAATACAAAGAAAACAATTCTTTTAACTCTGATTGTTGCGTCATATACACTAGATATAAATAACTACACATAACAGGTTCTAACTCCCGGTTATAGATAGGAACATCGATATATTCGATTGAGAATGCGATACAAGATAATCTGTTGGTTCAAGATCACTGATAAAACGGAAGGCTTTCTTTTACCAATGGCAATAAATTAAATTTAAAATATTTTAAAGAAAAAGAAAAAAAAGGTTAGCCAACATAGGTTGAAATTCAAACTAAGGAGAACAATTAGCTTCTATATATATTATAGTTTCAAATAGATATTTTTTTAACCTAGGCTTTGTAGACAGCAACAAAACAGAGTGCCAACGGACAATAGGAAGGAAACACGTTTTTATTTAAGCCTACGTAAGGTAATAATAGTACTACCGCTGATAAAATAGATATAGATAAAATAGATGTATAGATAGATAAAATAGGTTTTAATTTTTCTACGTAGGGCCTTAGCATATGGCATTAAAGTTTTAATTCAAATTCCAATACTCAATCCACGGGGATGAAGCGAGCGATGACCTGGTATTAAATTAAATTACAATAACAAACACGAACCCAGTACAATCTCTCCCCTGTTGGCATAAACATATCGCTGCCATTGTAATTCGGTGGTGGTTTCAATCTGTTCACTTTGCTGTATTCCACTGAGTGCAGTAATTTAAATGGTGACCATGTGTTTTTGGGGCCTTCCCCGTCGTCCTTTACAACGACGGTGGGTGATTCACTGTTTCTATGAAACACGAAACCTTTCGTGTAAACCGAGTTACTCTTCTCCACGACGGACGTGCTCTTCTTGACAGCGACATCATCTTTCACTTCTTCGGGAGCTTTCGAATCCTCAACAACTTTGGTAGCCCAGAACGGTTTATACGAGCTGTTCTTCCTCACTCTGGACTGTTGGTACTCGAAGTCTGCGACTTTGGTCCTTTTGAGGTCTTTCAGGAGCCTCGAAAAGAGACCGGCTGTGTTAGAAGACTTGGGTTCCTTACTTTGGCGTAGAACTCGACCTGATTTCGGCGAGAGTATTGATACCGATTTCTTTTTCCAAGTCACCGCTGCGTTCACCGCCGCCGGCGCGGAATAAAACGTCGCGAGGCGAGCGACGTCCTCCCTTCTCAACTTCACGATCTTCTCTTCTTGGATCTCCTTCATTCTACATTCACGCACGGACATTTAGGAACCGAGTGATTTATATCGCGTTCACTAATGATTATAAAGCACCAAGGAATTGGGGCGACCTTCAAGATTTGGTACAAGGACTAGAGGCGGCTCGTCATTTGATGCTTCTTTGTTATAGGTAATAATAATTGTTTTATATTTGTTCCGGAATTTACCCAAAATTATTGACCACTAATGTTTTGTTGCAGTCTGATTGAAGAAACACGAATACGATTCAAACGAGACATCGTACAATGGCTTAATCGCAGTGGTCATTCCGCAGTTAAACACGAGTATTGACTGAATGGATGGTGGTTGATAAAATTCCCTATTAAATATAGTGCGGTATACGTACGTACGTAGATAACGATACGCCGGAACCCCATAGAGAGTTTTACCATAACGCCTGCGGTGTAGTGAAAGCTATTAAATGTTTTCATAGCGTTTAATGTCATATCTTGCGATGAGCGACATTATATATTTTAGTTTGCTTTATATCTGAAAGTGTTCACTGGACTTGTTTTCATGCCGCTAGGATTCTAAGAAGCAAAGACGGTACACGAAACGATTTATATCATAAATTTAATTCACATGTTTTCCGGTTGCCCAAGTAGCAGTGCATTTTGTTGAAAAAGTTTACAATGAAGATATTAGATATACTAACGCCCGGTTTCTGAAACAGTGATCATCGTAGATGTCAACTAATCAGCTGTCAAATGGATACGTGTTAACCAGTTTTTATATGAAAAGTTATTATTTTAATTTGCATCGAATAGCTTCGTATTCGCTTTTCAAATAAGCTCAAATTGCACAAATTTAAACATGGATGAACATCCCAGGGGGCAACCTTGCAGTACTCGTCACTCCAGGTGTGGTCGGGCGACATAACCGTTTATCGGCTAACATAACAATAACCACCGTTAGTACTACTAACGCTTTTAGATAATGAATTACACGAGGTGACTAAAAAAAAACCGGCCAAGTGCGAGTCGGGCTCGCGCACAAAGGATCCATTATCGAAGATAAAACGGCAAAAAAAATCTTATCTGTTGTATGGGAGCCCAAGTCAAATGATTTTTTATTCTGTTTTTTTAGTATTTGTTGTAAGAGCGGCAACAGAAATACATTATCTGTTAAAATTTCAAGTGTCTGTCACGGTTCATGAAATACAGCCTGGTGACAGACGGATAGACGGACAGACAGACAAATGGGTTCCGTTTTATCATTTGGGTACGGAACCCTAAAATGAGTAGAAATAAATGTAGTCATTTAACCCGTGGATCTTTAGTAAGAATTTTAATTGTAATTGACTGTGGCAGGGCCACACATAGGCAACAGTATTCTTTGTCGCACGAATGTGCAGGTCCGTTCGGGTAAGTACCACGACCTCACACAAGACCGGCGTGGGGTGGAAGTGTTACACTTCTGCGTTTCGTCTGGTGAATGAGGTAGTCCGTGCCCACTTTACTAAACAGTGACAACGCAACTTTAACCCTACGGGTGCTGCTCGCTTGTCACCTGTTCATTAAAAAAAAATATTCTCGACAAATGTAGAATATTCTTAAATTCACATTCAAATTCACATTCAAACTGTAAACCTAAAAACATTAGACAGCAGAATGAGAGAGAACATATCGTTACTCGATCAATTTTTTCAGTTATTAATCAGCTCAATAAACATAGGTATCTCGTTTGAGACAATCTCGATTATATACAGTTGGTCCAATTTCAATATTTAAGTTTATGATTAAAAACTTACATTATTATCATTCATGGTTATTTCAATTTATAATTCATAAAACTATAGGATCAAAAATTCATAATCATATAATAATAATAAAATATCTGTATTCACATCTTTCTTATGAAACGTCAAAATTTTACAAAGAAATTAACACGTTCGTAAGTTACCACCGGTTCGGAAAGCAGTTTCTGTTGAGAAGAAACTGGCAAGAAACTCAACAGTTGCTCTTTTTTAAAAGGTCAGTTTACAATATAATAGTCTTATTCTAGCCTACGTGAGTATCGACAGTATTAACCCCACACATTGGCGTCATCAAGATATTCCGCAATAGTATAATAGGCTTTGGCCATAAGTTTACTTTTAATTTTTCGTTTAAATTCATCATCGTATCATATATCGCACAAATCATGTACAATGCCTCAAGGCTGGAAATGCGATTGTTACATTGCATTATGCCTCCAAACGCCTTTATTGACTTTATTGTTCATACCAACATGCGTTCATATGATAAGATAAGGAATACTATTTAGTTATGATTACAATGTGCGTGGGGTGGGAGACCGAAGGCCTTGAAAATAACATGATTTTTTTAAAGAAATTGTTACCTCACTTTACTTTTGCGTTAGTAAGAGAGCCAGTAATATGTCTTAGGAGTAAGTTTGTTAAATATAAAAAAATACGGTCATGAGTTTATAACAATTTTGTTAAATATTAAGTACGTAGGCGGGATGATAAGTAACTAGCCATTGCTATTTAAAAAGTTAAAATTAAAAAAATATATGTGTCATTTTTAAATTCGTATCTCTGGCCACCTGTGTTCTAAATTTGAATTAGGTGGCGTGAAAATTTTATTGTTTTTTTGTCATTTGAAAATATATTTCGTCAACTATTTTCAAAATGGATAAAATTGAACAGAGAGCGGTGATAAAGTTTCTTCATATGAAGGGGATGAAGGCGAAAGATATCTATGACGAGTTAAAGAATGTTTTGGGTGAATGTGCTCTTTCTTATGCCACAGTAAAAAACTGGGTGGCTGAGTTTAAAAACGCGGTCGTACATGTGTCCAAGATGAAGCCCGCCCCAGACGTCCAAAAAGCGTTACGACTCCGGAAATGGTCGTGAAAGTACATGATATGGTTTTAGCTGATCGACGATTGAAGTTATCTGAAATAGCTGACACTACAGGTATCTCAAAAGAACGGGTACATCATATCCTAAGTGAGGAATTAAATATGAAAAAGTTATCGGCCCTTTGGGTGCCGCGAATGCTTACGCACGATCAAAAAAGGATTCTGGTCAAAAACTCAAAAGAATGTCTGGACCGTTTTCAGAGTAATAAGGCCGATTTTTTACGTCGATTTGTAACAACAGATGAAACATGGGTTCATCATTACACGCCAGAATCAAAAATTCAATCAAAACAATGGACTCAATCGGGATGCCCGGCTCCAAAAAAAAAGCCATGGCTGTAAAGTCGGCTGGAAAAGTGATGGCTTCTGTCTTTTGGAATGCAGATGGTATTTTGATGATAGATTACCTTGCTAAAGGTCAAACAATTAATGGTGAATACTACGCTAATCTTCTTGATAAGCTTCATCAATGTATTCAGCAAAAACGACCAGGTTTGGTGAAAAAAAAAATCATCTTCCACCAAGACAACGCTAGGGTTCACACATGTGTTCAAAGCTATGGCAAAAATCAACGAATTGAAGTATGATTTGCTGCCTCACCCACCTTATTCGCCTGATCTAGCGCCATCAGACTTCCACTTATTCCCTAAGCTCAAAACTTTTTTGGGTGGAAAGAAATTTGCCACAAATGATGAAGTCATAGCCGCCGTAGAGGAGTATTTTGCAAGCCTCGAAAGAAATCATTTTCTGGAAGGCATTACTTGCTTTAGAACGAAGATGGAATAACTGTGTAGCGGTTCACGGAGAGTATGTCGAAAAATAAAATTAATTTTATCACGGAAAGTTAAGTGTTTTCTTATTAGGCTAGTTACTTATCATCTCGCCCACGTATGAGTATTTCAAACTCAAACTATCTTTATTCAAATAGAACCTAGCGCGTTCTTATGAAAGCCGATGTTTTACATAAAAATCGATACATAAATTCGTATGTTACCACAGTTTATTTACACAATTAATTTATTAAGCGATAGTAAAACTATGACGTAAAAGTCGATTAAAAAAAAACCTTAGAGTAAGTCGATTACAACAGGCTATACTAGGGACTAACATTTATAGAAGCGGGTAAGGGTATTTTCTGCCTGCCAAAAACAGGACGGTTTCTAAAACACTGATCATCGTAGGAGTCAACTAATCAGGTGTCAAATTGATTCTCAAATGTTATTAGAGTTGTTGGTTGATTGAGTTTGAGTGATCAGAACAGAGTTTCAGAAACCGCGCGTGAGTGTGGTTGGAGGCCTTGATTGTCTAATTTAATTGTGTTAAGGCAGCAATACCAAATGATCTCGTGTGGCTTCAATGCTTTAAGGGTACTGGTGAAGGTTTATCCTGCCCAGGAACACGTGTGGTGCTGAAGGCACCGATGAGTTCAGTAAATCGCATCACAATACCAAGGTACTAACGGTTTAAGGGGGCAAGTACCCAAAATAACCATATCTTCTCTCCAGGAGATATCGTCTTTTACATTCTCCTGTGTAGCAAAACGACGTACAGTCAATAATCTTAACGTAAACAATTTTAAGTAGTGGTTACAAAAGTGCATTATCGAGATTAATACTTCACTTAGTCACGGAATTAAGCTGTCCTCTATCCTTAAGCTGTTTACAACGGTTTCCAAGTAACAGCGCATAGCGAATTTGTCAGCAGTCATTGATATGACACGATAAGATAATACATGATTTCCTTACGCTATTAAAAAACCGGCAGACTTATAAGCGTCATTAGAACATTTAACAATGTAGCAGGATCACATGTGGGTATTATATTTATCAATTACTAGCGACCCGCCCCGGCTTCATACGGGTGCAATGTCTTATGCATATAAACCTTCGTCTTGAACCACTCTATCTAATAATAAAAACCGCATCAACATCCGCTGCGTAGTTTTAAAGATCGAAGCATACATAAGGACAGACAGACAGCGGGACGACTTTATTTTATACTATGTAGTGATAAGAAGTTATTGAATTTTTTTTTTACTTTTGTACTCGCTTTTAAATTAACAATTACATCAGCACCGGGAATTGAATTCAAGTTACTGAAATTTAATATAATTTGAATAT